CATACGGCTACTCATATAGTTATCTCTGGAGAGTAAGTTGACCATCTAACCTCAATCGTCTCCTGAAATCTCATTCTCCGTAGAATTTTGGTATCATCATTGCCTTTGGGGTTGGCTTCTTCGTTTTCTTGCTCATTGCCGCGGAGTACAACACGAAGTCCGCGTTTGACACCGCGGTGACTCTCTTCAAGCAAGGGACACGTGCAATGGAAGTCAGTCACACTACGGAAGATGAAGAGAAATCTAGCTTATCTACTCGGCCACCATCTTTGGACGCGGGCGCCGCGCGGACCTCCGGCGCATCTGGACCATATAGTCCACTCGAAAAGCCAGGAACCAATGATGTATTTACTTGGCAGAACATTCAATACATCGTACCAGTATCTGGCGGAGAGCGGCGCTTGCTCGATGATGTCTCTGGGTACGTTGCGCCTGGAAAATTAACGGCTCTCATGGGTGAATCCGGTGCTGGAAAGGTTCGTCGCATATATATCTACTAGGCTCTTCATTCAACTTCTTATCACAGACGACATTGCTCAATGTTTTGGCTCAACGAGTCGACGTCGGAGTTGTCACGGGAAATCGGTTCGTCAACGGGCAGCCCGTCCCTGCAGACTTTCAGGCTCAGACGTGAGTCAACCTGCTAGTAATCAAGATCTTTCATTGATATTCCTTGCAGCGGCTATTGTCAACAAATGGACACTCACTTGGCCCAAACAACTGTTCGCGAGGCTCTTCTGTTCTCCGCTCGCCTACGACAACCTGAGTCTGTCCCATCTGTGGAACTCGAAGCATAGTATGTTCATATCCATTCACCATACGCATACGACTGAGAATTGTGGATAGCGTGGACAAGTGCCTGATCATGTGCGGCCTTGAAAATTATGCTGATGCCATCGTTGGATCACTGGGTGTTGAGCACCGCAAGCGTACCACCATCGGGGTTGAGCTCGCAGCAAAGGTGCATTCTTTGGAGCCACGTTTTTGATGCTGTGCTGACAGTTTTAAAGCCCAAGCTGCTTTTATTCCTTGATGAGCCAACGTCCGGTCTCGATTCCCAGTCTGCTTGGGCAATCATGACGTTCCTTCGTGAGCTGGCAAACAATGGACAGGCCATTCTTTGCACGTGAGTATGCTAGATTCGGGATTCATCGAGATGCTTAATTGTTGTAAACCAGAATTCACCAACCCTCTGCCGAGCTTTTCCAGGTGTTTGACAGGCTACTACTACTGCGCAAGGGCGGTCAGACCGTTTACTTTGGTGATATCGGCGATAAATCGTCAATTATGCTGGATTACTTTGAGCGCAACGGAGCTACTCACTGTGACGCCAATGCCAACCCGTGAGTCACTCCGTTTACATCTCTGAAATGACTTCTAAGTTGGTATTCAAGTGCTGAGTACATGCTGGATACCATTGGGGCCGGCGCAACCGCGACCACCTCTGTCGACTGGCATGACATCTGGAAGCGATCTCCTGAAGCTGCTGAACTTCAAGTGCAGATTGAACAGATACACGTTGAAGGTCGCGCACGGCCATCGGTTGCGACGGAACGTCACTCTGAATTTGCCACCTCATGGATTCACCAAGCGGTTAACCTTACGAAGCGCAACTTCGTTGCGTACTGGCGCAACCCGACGTATCTCATCGCGAAAATCACTCTCAACATAGCGGGTGGTTTGCTCATAGGGTTCACCTTTTACAACTCTAAGGATACCTTGCAAGGGACACAGAACAAGCTTTTTGTGCGTTTCTTCCATGCTCGCTCCTCAGTCATGTGCTAATATTTTCGTGCAGTCAATTTTCCTAGCAACCGTTCTCTCTGTTCCCATATCTCAGCAACTCCAATCTGTCTACATCAGTATTCGTTCCGTCTATGAAGTTCGCGAGCGACCAAGCAGAATGTACAGCTGGACTGCACTGGTTACGTCGCAGATTCTGGTTGAGATTCCGTGGAACATCTTTTGCTCATCACTATTCTTTCTCTGTTGGTACTGGACGGTCGGTTTTGATACCGATCGAGGAGGCTACACATACTTGATGTATGGAATTGTGTTCCCCCTCTATTACACCACCATCGCAGAGGCGGTCGGAGCCATGGCACCCAGCGCAGTAATCGCATCGCTGTTGTTCAGTACGGTATTTTCATTCGTCGTCATCTTGTGAGTTCAACTCGCTTTTTTGCCGGTCCAATCGCTAATGCCTCCGAAGTAACGGTGTTTTGCAGCCTTTCCGTGCGTTGGGTTGGTGGCAATGGATGTATAGGGTATCCCCATTCACATACCTCGTTGAAGGTCTTCTGGGTCAAGGTCAGTGCACGCCCTCTTCCGTTTGACCTTTACTAAGGCCTCCCTTAGCTATTGGTGGACAGCTGATCAATTGCGCGTCAACTGAATTAGTGCCAGTCAATCCTCCCAGTGGACTTGATTGCTCGGCGTATATGGATCCTTTCATTTCTTTTGCCGGTGGCTATATCACGAACCCTAATGCAACGACTCAATGTCTATACTGCCCTTACCGCACCACCGATGAGTTCATGTTCAGTAATTTCAACATCTTGTATTCTCACCACTGGCGGAACGCGGGCATAGTACTGGGTATCGTCGTCTTCAATGTGCGTTCCTTTTATTTGACTTCCTTGCATGCACTCATGGTTTCTAACTTTTAGGTATTTGCTATATTTGCGTTCACATACATATTCCGCATACGGAAGGGCAGCATATTCAGTCTTTTCAAGGGCCGAAGATAGAAATGATACCATTGCTTTGTCGTTTTACTTTTACAGTTGTAATAATCAGTCTAATAGTGATTTATATAATGTATTAGCAGTCATTGCTCCACCAGCTGGAGTAGCATCGGGCTCCTTCCCACCACTGGTTCGAGTGTAGAGGGGGCGTGAGGCAGATTAAGACCAACTCATCACGTGCTACAATCAACCCAAGTGTTAATTGCAATTGCAAGGAGCTTGTAGCAATACCAGTAGTGTAAACATAAATTTAATGATGGACCAGCTTGTAAGATGCTCACGCCCCCTTCCCCCATCACTCATTTACATGAACGTACATGTAACAGCTCGGGTATATAGTTAATCATCCATAAGAGAATGCACAGCATAACTTGCAGGTCACCGTATCGACAAAATCCCCGATCTCGTCGAACTAGACCTTTCTTTCCCCTCTTTCTTTTTCTTTGCGCCCACCCCCTCCCATATCCTCCAAAACTTCAGATTCTCGTCCCCAGCACCTGTGCACACGACGTCGCCTGCAGGCCCCACCGCTGTGTACAGCACCCGCGAGTCGTGTGCGTCCCGTATCTCCGCAATACGCTCGAGCGAGGGGTACGCGTGTACCATAATTGCGTTTGTAGGGTATCCATGCGTCGTGAGAATTTCTTTCTTATGCGGTGACCAGATGATGGAGGTGACTTGGGATGGCGTTTTGAGAGAGTGCAGGCGGGCACCGGTGCCACTGTTCCAGACGTGAACAGTTGCGTCGTTTGTGCCCCCACCACTGGCCAAGAGGGAAGATTGCCAGGGGCACCAAGCAATTGCCTTCATAGTGTTAGATATGTCAAATACAATCGAAAGACAACAACTTACCTTTACAGCTGCAGTATGGTTCCGCTTCGTCCACTTGGCCTGTCCGCGCGCACCTTCCGTAACATCGCCCACGCGTCCATCCCAAATATTGACGACATTGTCGTTACCTCCGCTGGCTAGAAGTTCGCCGTCTGCTCTCCACTTCAGACCGCAGACTTCTCCCGTGTGTCCAAGGAGTTCCATGACTTTGTGCCGAGGGACGCGGACGTCATGGTGCCATATACTTCCATCCCCACATCCAGAGCTGAGGATGTGGGCATTCCAAGATAACACAGCAATTTGACCCTGGTGTCCACCCATCGTCCGGAGCTTCTGTCCTGCTTCTACATCCCACAACTCGACTTCACCAGTACCAAGACCAATACCGAGGTAGGCACCATCATTCGAAAAGTCAACCGAGGAGACATATGTGCCTTCGGGTGCTTCACTAAGGTGAGAGACTAGCCCTGTATCGGCCCGCCAGACATAAGTGCTCTCAGCAAGGGCGACAGCAACAACGTTCTGGATAGACCATGACACCAAATTAAGGTAAAAGTCATCAACCATGCCTGGAGCGTCGAGGACGCGCTCAGGCTGAGTGGGAATGCGGCGGGACTTGTTGGTTGTAGAGCTAGTTGACGAAGGGAGTTCACCCGGACGTCCGTAGAGCGGACGAGCTAGTTCACGCTGCTGGGAAAGTGTGGAGTCTGAAGATGAAACTGGGGGCGCCTCGTGGTAAGCCAGCACGCGGCGATTGAGCGGGACACCGGTGGCAGCTGCAAGACGAGCTGTATGTCCTGGTGATACAGTTTTTGGGTTGAGACTCATGAGTTCGAGCGTGGCAGCAACATCGTCGGCTTCACGAGTAGTAATAAAACGATCACGATTGTCACCGGTAGATTGTGTGCGTTCCCGGGTAGCAGGAGTTGATCTCGAGCGCTTGAGCTCTGGTCTAGGCTGTGATGTAGGGGGCAAATAGTCGCGTGAAACGACGTCCAAACGGGTCTCGATGCCGCCTTTTCTGATCACTCCTCCACTCGCTTGGCGCTGAAATGAGTCTGAGACGGCAACACCACCCCCAGTTGCACGTTTTACGGGAGATACTTGTCGCGATTTGGTGATAAATGGATTTGAGAGGTCAGCAGGATGAGATCGTTTCTGCGGGGAGATGGAGATACTATTAAAGGCAGAGATGATAGATGGAGTGAGGGGCGTCTTTGCATCTGAGCGTGATCTGTAGCGAGATGGTGTCTTGGGTATCGAGGTCATCGTGACGCACGGCAAGCACCACAATCAGAACCGACTGAGAGCGAGTGAAAGGCCTGACGTTTGCGGCGTTTTGAACGTGTGCGTGTATGTCACGTGCTTTGTTTTTCGGTTCGATTTCTGTCCACGTGCTTTGTTTTTCGCGTCTGTCAGCCGCTTTGCGGTGTCAGCCAGTTCCTAGTATGAAAACGGTCCAACATGTACGAATAAGATGTCCCCCTTTGATCTTACAACGTCGATCTTTTTCACGACGACTTCACGTTCATTACTTTAAACATGTCCCTCAGAACAATCTTCATATATGTTTTTCTCCTTATCAGCATAGCCCACGGTAGTCCTATCGAATCACCCAGAGATGACGCACAGCAGGTGGAGACCGTCCCATTCACAGGGGTTAATCCAACAGATCCACACCTGGCGCACGACCCTGACGGCCTTCGCCCCGCCTCAGCTGCAATGGCAATGATCATTGGCGTTGCCCCGTCCAAAGGGCATGATGGTCCTGGGAGCGTGCTCACACCCTACGAGCAGCCTCACATCACCTCTGCTGCACCCACTGCTTTATTCGTTTCCTCCGCGACCCATGCAACAGCCTCACCCACTCCCAGCCTCCACGTCCCCGAAGGCACGCCTGGGATTACACCCGCACCACAGTCAAATCCCTCTCAACGCAACGTCCTCGTTCTCGCCATCGCTGTCAGTTCTGTCCTGGCCCTCCTGGTCTGCGTCACCACTGGCAAGTACACTCTTGAGTACCTCCGAAAGGCGAAGCGCAAGTTACGGTTGTCGCAGGAGTCTTGGGGACACAGGGAGAGGTCGTTCCCTTCTGAAGTGCCCGCACCAGACCCAGAAGCAGAGCATCAGAGCTTGAAGACATTCTCATTTCCCGGCCAGCCAGCCCGCAAGGACGTCCATTTGTATGACCCCAGTGAACCACCATCCAAGCCCACCATGCGCACCCGGTTTAGCAACCTAATCGCATACACTGCGTTCAGGCACCGTGATCACGACAGCGTCACCACCCAAGACACTGCTTCCTCCGCGCCGTACCTTCTCAATGTCCCGGGCCATTCAGATCACTCTCGTACCAGGAGCGCACCCATTATCACTGCCAATGACTCCATGGCTACTGTGAAACCTGCCAGGTCCACGGAATTAGATTTGGACATCGCCAGGTCGTCCTATCGCGTATCACAGGCGAGTGCCAACGTGCCGAGCTCTTTGCTTCCTTCTAGAGGCAGTAGGTTGTCCAGACTCGATGCGACGTGGTAGTCTTGTCAATCTATGTTATTTCAGAAGTTACTTCTACTGTGGTCATTGACAGAATCGCAGAAAATGATAACACGAAAAGGATAAGTGAGTGCAGCAGACTTGGTATCAAATTACAGAAATTATGGAGTAATTGAACGAGGGAGCGAAATTGGTATGTGCAAATGAGGGTGTATAAAGTCATTAGGTTCAGATCAGTATCATGAATTACTTCCATAGACTAGCAAGCTTCTGCTGCAGATCAGCTAGGGGGTTGCCCTTGCGGATGCGGCAGATGTACGTGAGCGTGAAAATTGCACCAACCTGCGAGGCACGCGGTTAGCTCGATATAAACACACCACAATGAAAAGAACTCACGTTGAAAAGAGTGATACCAAGCATGATGCCCAAGTCGCGCCAGTGGTGAGAAGCCTCGATGTTAAATGCGGCGAACATATAGTCGTCTGTCGTGCGATAAGGACAGAACAAACACGTGGACGTGGCGCTGGGATCGGCAAGGTAACCACCGGCATATGACATGAATGGATCCAAGTATTCGGCGCAAGTAGATCCACTTGGAGGGATGACAGGGACGAACTCATGCTGAGCGCAGTTAATGGCAGTACCACCAATGGCTAAAGGAAATATTTTCAATCATCAATTATATAGATGATTTCGTCCAAAAAAACGCACCTTGACCTAGCAGACCCTCGATGAAGTAGGTGAAAGGGGAGACACGGTACATCCACCGCCACCAGCCGAGAGCACGGAATGGTTGTAAGACACCATTGCTACAAAACAGTAAGAGAGAAGATCATATCACACGCATGCAATTACTTACAAGACGACAACAAACGAGAACAGTGCACTGAACAGCAGCGACGCGATTACAGCGCTTGGAGCCATGGAAGCAACCGCCTGGGCAACAGTTGTGTAATACATGGGGAATACGACGCCGTACATGAGGTATGTGTATCCCGCGCGATCACTGGGGAACCCGACAGTCCAGTACCAGCAGAAAAAGAAGAGTGACGAGCTAATAATGTTCCATGGGAGCTCGACCAGAATTTGGCTGACAATGAGTGCTGTCCAGTTGTACATCCTGCTTGGGCGCTCCCTGATTTCATAGACAGACCGAATGTTGATGAACATTCCCTGAAGTTGCTGCGAGAGGGGGACACAAAGCACCGAGGCCAAAAAGATCGCCTGTCAAATGGATCAACAACTTCCATCAAGTGATCCAAGACACCACATACAAAAAGCTTGGTCTGGGTACCCTGGAGCGAATCACTGCTCTTGTAGAATGTGAAGCCAATAAGCAGGCCACCAGCAATGCAAAGTACAAATTTGGCCATAAGGTAAGTCGGATTTCGCCAGTATGCCTGGAAGTTACGCTGTGTAAGGGCCATAAGCTGGTGAAGCCACGACGTCGCAAACTCGGTAGGCTGTGCTGTTTGAACGACCGGGCGAGCGCGGCCTTCAGTGTGAATGTTCTCGATCTCCTCTTGGAGTGTAGAGGCCTCAGGCGAATTCTGCCAGATAGAGTGCCAGTCAACCGTGCTTGATGCTGTTGCACCCGCGCCAATGACATCAAGCATGTATTCGGCCCTGGAATGAGTTGTCAAGTCAAGAAGGGAAAAATACATTCAGGAATCACGTACGGGTTAGCGTCAGGATGGCATCGAGAGGCACCATTGCGCTCGAAATAATCAAGCATAGTGGAAGATCCCTCGCCGATGTCACCGAAGTACACAGTCTGACCTCCCTTCTTGAGGAGCAAGAGACGGTCGAAGACCTGGAACAACTCTCCAGAAGGTTGATGAATACTAGGGGAAGATTGTGAGAAAATATAGTATAGCACTCGTTATGTCAAGCTTACGTGCAGAGGATAGCTTGGCCCTTATTGGCAAGCTCGCGAAGGAATTTCATGATGGCCCAGGCCGACTGAGAGTCGAGACCAGAGGTAGGCTCATCCAAGAACAAGAGAAGCTTAGGCTACACCACCACACTATCAGCGCATCGCTGGATAGAAACATTACAAGGACAGACCTTAGCAGCAAGTTCAACACCAATGGTCGTACGTTTGCGATGCTCGACACCCAAAGACCCAACGATGGCATCGGCGTGATCCTCGAGGCCGCACATGACTAGACACTTGTCGACACTGAAATAATACGATGAGCCAGTTGTAAAAGAGAAAATGACAACTCACTGTTCTGCTAACTCGGCCATAGGAACAGTCTCAGGCTGACGAAGGTGGGCTGAAAACAGCAGGGCCTCTCGAACGGTAGATTGAGGAAGGTGAGTGTCCATTTGCTGGCAGTAGCCACTAGCACATAATGTGCTTCAGTACCTGCAATCATACGAAATTTCGAAACGATGCACGTACGTCTGTGCCTGGAAGTCCGCAGGAAGGCTCTGACCATTGACCAAACGATCACCAGTCACGACACCGACATCAACACGCTGTGCCAAGACATTTAGGAGCGTAGTCTAGAAATATATATTAAATAGTGACGATCCTAGGACATCCAACAATACGTTACCTTTCCAGCACCCGATTCACCCATGAGCGCCGTCAGTTTTCCAGGAGCGACAAAACCAGAGACGTCGTCCAAGAGTTGACGCGATGTGCCTCCAGAGATGGGGACCGTGTATCGCAAATGCCTCCAGGTAAAGATGTCCGTTGCCGATGGCGTATCGAGTTTTGGAACACTGGCATCTGTCCGCGACGGTCCAGCAAGTTCAGGGTTGGCGCCTTTCTCTTCGTCCTTGGACTCATCAACAGCCTCAGCAGCGCGCGTACCCTGCTTGAAAAGCGTTACAGCAGTGTCAAATGCAGATGCGGTGTTAAATTCGGTCGCAGTGAGCAGAATAACGAGGAAGCCAATGAAGAAGGCGCAGACGACACCAAAGTTCTGAAGAACTTGATTAGTGAATCTCCATGCCAAGAACTGTCAATAGATTTACCCTCCAAAGGTTGCTGTAGTAGTAGTCATAGGACAGTGCCGTGAAAATATTGCCATCGACAAAATTTTGACCCGGCTGGGCACCGACCGTAGAGCAAACCTGGTTAGCCAACGAAACATTTGGATACGCAGGTCCTGATGGAACAAGCATCGAGCAGGTGCCGTTCAGGGTGTGGAACTCGTTTGTCAGTAGAGCCTCAAAACCATAGCGCACAGGCTGCACACTAGCAGTGAGAACACAAACCAACAGTTACACTCCATAGACTTACGTTGATATACATGATCCAGCGGAGGGCACCTGGAATGTTGGGCTTAGGAATGGTGTAACCAGTAAAGAGTGCCACCACCACCACCACGACACCAGCAACGGATGTAGCCGCAGACTCAGTCTTAAAGCACGCGGAAACCATTCTAAAGAACGCCTTCATAGTCGTAGTCATAGCAAGAACGAACAGGAAGAAGATGCTGTATGTGCATTCAGCATGACTCCACAGCTACATTAACGGCAATACTCACAAGAATTGAGAGGCCGTCCTCTGAAGGCCGACGAGGAGATATAGAATAACCACAAACCCAGCTTGAATAATGAACGTGAACGGGATATCGACCATTGTGTGTGCGAAACTTTCGATGAACGGGTAGTACATCGCTGCCTTGTGGTGCCGGAGCACAATCGGACGCTGAGCGAAGAGAGCCGGAATTTCTGCCATGGACGACAAAGCACCGAAGAAGAGAGCGCTGAAGACAAGTGAGACATGCATTTCAGTAACTTTGGAGATACAATACGCACAAGAACAAGACACCGCCACGGGAGAAGAAACCAGAGGTTGCATCAGGTAACTCCAAGAACACGGTACCCATAATGATAGACTGGAAGATTTGCACACTGGAGCAAAGTTGACGGTCAGGTGATTGGTAGACTACAATTGACGGCACACATACGCAAGTTGGACGACTACAGTGCTCCAGTCTCCTTTTATGACCTGCAAGCGGCGCACCATGACAGCTCTAACCTGCATAGGAATCGAGATAGTGTACGAATGTGCCTTTGGTGCCGTGTCGGCGTGCTCCATTATGGCACTCTGCCTGTATGCATCTATGCGCTCGGGCTTCCCGACGTTGTGGGATCGGTAATTCTCGATGGAGTCGCGGTTTGCCTGACCAAGAGAAGACGCCAGGAACACAGCTGCCATCTCCTCTGACGTTCTGGGAACTTTGCCTTCGAAACCGTCACGGATCTTGCGCCCGCTTGGGTTAGTCACTGGAAATCACCGTATAAACAGCTCAATCCCTTCCAGCTAATATAAAACATACCTGCCACGAGGAAATCAGCAGTGGTTTGCCTGTCTTGCGGTTCGTATCCCATGTCAATGAAGTACTGACGCGCGTCCCTAGCCGGGCCAAAGTACACCATCTTGCCCTCTGCAATGACACATACTTTGTCGAAGAGGTTGTAAAGTTGCTCTCCCGCTTGGTAAATAGACACAATAGTGGTAAGACGACCTATATCCGTGCCGATACGTAGTGCCTGAACAAACTCGAGTGCAGTTGACGCATCCAGACCACGAGTGGAACTGAAATAACATTGTTTATGAGCACCGTTGCCAATGAAGAACAAACACAAAAACTCACTTGTCCCACGCGCCAATGAGGGCACGGCAAGACAGTGCTTCTGCGATCGAGACACGTTTTTTTTCACCTCCCGAAACACCACGAATGGCAGCATCACCGACAACAGTGTTTCGGGCATGACGAAGACCGAAGATGCGCACGAGGATGTCAACCACAGCACTATTAAACTGTTCACGTGACTGGTCTGTGAAACGGGCATGTGGAGTTCGCGTTTTGATGGCGAAAGACAAGGTTTGCTCGACAGTCAGGGTCGGGAAGTGGACATCATCCTCAGGACAGTAGATTACATCTCCGCGATACTGCCTTGCGATATCTTCGGGGGTGAAGGAGTCATAGCAAACTTCACCATGGACAGCGTGGTATTCACCACGCTGGTTTGCAATAGTCTTAAGGAACGTGCTGCAACCGGAGCCAGGTCGTCCGAGAACCACTGTCGCGAAAACGTGATTAGCGCGAAAATTCAAGCTTACGTTAGTTCAAGAAAATGACTAACGAAGCATTTCACCAGGTGCAACAACACCCTCGAATCCCGAGAGAATATCCCTGACTGGCGGGTTGCGCATCGTTGAAATGTTTTTCAAGATGGCGGCAGGATTAAACATAGAACCGATGGTGGGCTGCAAAGAAGCACGTGCACCAACACCGACAACACGAAGATCTTTAAACATAACGCCTAGCTCACGGCCCTTGATAGACTCTTCGCCGCGACTAGTAATATGTTACCAAAGACGACTGAATTTTTATTTGTAGAACTCACCGTCTGACAAGGTCTTTAAGCGTAAGTTCAAAATCGAAAGCATCATCAGCATATGCGGAAGTGACAGAAGATGAACTTGGGGTGTTGACCCCCTTAGGTGAGGAAGGCATAGAAGGCTTGGGTGGACTTGGCCGGCGATCCACTTGAGAACGTGTAGAACGTGTTGTCATTGTGCGTTTCAGTTCGCTAACACCGACTGGGTCAAAAAAATTGACTGGAACGCGAGAGGGGGATGAGGTAGTGGCTTCGTGAATCTCATCTTGAGTGGGCTCATCCTGAGGAATATTATTGTCCAGCTGAGGGGCCGGAAGGCTCATGATGATGAGGAACGTAAAGTAAGGGAAGGGAAAAAAAATGGTAAGTGAAGAAGAGAGAACTGGGAGACTAAATAGTCTACCGGCAAAGAAGGCATTATTAACGGGTCAGGGTAATTGGACCGAATAATACGACACCCTTTCACGAGGATCACAATACATTTACATCATGAGACATAAGAACTCGCGGACTCTAAAATTAATGGCAGCACTGCGTCACATCCATGTCCGGCAGCATGACCGAACTTTGCGTGGGCACCCCGAGCCATCCCCGAACGCTGCGATGGAACGTTGCAGGCAAGCGATTTAATCATCTAACACATTCTAGGCTCATGCATCCTTGGAATCATTCCGCGCCAGGCTGCTGATGCCCACCTCGCCTTGTCACCAACATAGACTTTGATGAACTAAGGGTCAAACGAATAGAACACTCTTCACCCCAGGTACATCGCATACACTTCTGTCATACTGGGTTTCAAACCTTTTATTATCTCAGGATGTTACCCAACCTCAAAATACTCTCGGAAACGTTAAACGCTATTACCTCGGACCTCTGTCGTCTCCGTCAAATCCACAAAGCAACTCTCATAGTGCTTCAACAAGTCGTACTCATGACCTTTGGCTTCAAGATGGCCCGCCTCCTCGCTGCAAACAACATCTCGCTGAAATAAAATCCCGTATGCTTGTCCTTGAGTTTGGTGGCGCTGCCGGGACACTCGCCACTATTAAAGACGGTCGTGATCTCAAATGCCAAGCAGCCCTCGCCCAGAAACTACGTCTGATTTTGCGTGGCATACAGAACTATCGCCGAGATTGGCAGCTTATCACGGGGACCTGGTTTAAATTCTCCACGGACGTCAAGCTCATGCAAACGGAAATCGGAGAGGTCTCAACCATTCTATCCACATCGCGGCTCCTCCTATGCTACAGAAACACAATCCCATCTCCAGCGTTTATATCACTGCCATGGGTGCGACTGTCGGTAAGTTCTGCAGAGCTGTATGATGCCATAGTTGAGGATCACGAGCGCGCAACGGGGCCTGGGAGATTGAGTTGATCGTTCTTCCACAGATCTGCACTCTCAATGCTGCATTATTGCATACGTGCGAGCTCATTACAGGGTTGCGGATGCTATGAAGAGAAATTTGGAAATCACAAGAGGCGGCATGGCAAGTGGGGCCGTCATGATGGGTCTGTGTAGGCAGAGTGTCCAGGAGGATCTGCCTTTGTTGATACTGCTCTGTGCAGACGATAAAGTCCGGGAGGACTATCGAAAGAGGAGCTCGAGGGCTCTGCGATCCAACCAGTTGCACGGTCCGTGGAAATGGTTGCAGATACCCTCACAGTCAGTAAAGTTGGTTTCTGTGTAGGATTGCAAAAGCGTCCAGATTAGCTATCACTTATCGTTTTCCGTGTTTGCTGGTTATCACACTAGGTCTTACTAGCTATAGTACAGGCAACTATTATTATAGGAAGGTTCAATGTCCTACATGTGGGGTGAGGCTTATCTCGGCAACAGGGTCAGTCCTCGGTAGCGAGTGCTGAACGCAAATTTTCACCGAACCGATTGGCTGAGCCTATTAGAGCGAGTATCTGGCGTCCAACATCATCTGTGCTCAAGGTTACTGGCTATCAACGCCGACACGACCTAGGGTGGTTGGGTTTGACAGAGTGAAGTTCAGGATGGGGAGCGAGCAGCTGGTCTGCAGGGTGGGCAGGACACTGATTGCGATTGTAGGCTTGGATACATTAATCGAATTATAATGAACTAAGATCAGATATGACTGCGCCACGAAACGTGCATGAGTGAGAAACACAAAAACAGATTCTGTAGAGTAGGGAGAGGAGGATGAGAGCAAAAAAAAATCCGAAGCGAGAACGAGTTCGAGCTCGTCACAGCTGGGTGCCGGAAAGCATCCGCAGGCTCCAGTTTCGAGCATCGTGCTAACCCTGTTCCAACTCGGAACCTTGATCGGTTCTGTCAGTACATGAGGGCAACCTAGTCCAGTGTTGATAAGCTAAATTTTTCAAATTTTTTCAAAATTCTCTACCAAATTGACTGCGGGAATTTCTTATGTCGGCGTTTATTTCATGATTGCGTCCTTTGTTAACTCGTCTGACATGTAAGTATTGCTAGTTCGCACTTTTGAACGCATGACTTGCCTGACATGCGGGAACACTCAATATATGACATGTTCAGCTCCGAACTTGAGGCGATACACAAAGCGCGGCTTGGAAGCTAGCGCGGACGCCAATGTTTGGGTGTAACACATTTTATCTCTGGCCCCGGATAATGGTTTGCCTTCGACTTTCCTTGCCCTCCTTCTGCTTCAACCGCCACCTACAGACCCCCAATGCCCGTCATCGACCTACTTACTGGTGTCTTTCAACGTGCTGAGCACCATCACTTGCAGCTGGTATGCGACCTTTCTCTGTTTGCCTTGCTGCACTTAGTGCTGCCGCCATTCAGTCTCGAACCTAGGTTCGAACCTGAACTTTTGTGAACGGAACCACCGTTCGGTCGGTGGTTTGACATACAATACAGGACCAGACCCTACCTAGGTTCTTCGTTAGGGCGGTCTCGGATGGATGTCAGACCCGTTTGCACGAGTCTGAACCGGTCCGAACACATCATCCACATTGTAAGTTCTCGCATCGCAAAAGACTACCTTGCTACTCAGGGGTCTGTGGTTCCATCTGAATGGACATTCTCAAGTGGTGGCATCACCAGGATCACACGTTGTAACTCCTTGCTGCCGAGGACTTTCGAGGCACTTCAACTGTTGAAGAGTGTGTACCGTCAAGGCCATATCTCGGCAATGCCGAGCTTGTTGCTCCTCAAAATTTTGTTAAATAGTTGATCATACCAGCCTACAATTGTTTGTAGCTCCCAGTAAAATTTACAAAATATTTTGTTGCGTTCGGCGGGTCGAACTGGTCCGAACATGAACCTGACCATTGTGAACCCGTTCGAAGTGGTCCGGCCCAGAGTCTATTGATGATGAATATGGGCGCCGGTCGGCGAAGTCGGGAACTGGCACGTTCGCGGCCTTACGATGAACGAAGCGTTGTCACATGACAGCGAATGTTGAATATCAAATACGGTGTCCGTACAAAAGCCATGACGTGGCTGCGTGCTTTAGCATATATACATCCCATGGTAACAATTGGGTCGTTCTGACACCCATAGAACCATTTTTGCCATTGGATCGCCATATTGTCGTCGCCGCTCTTTTCGTCGGAATGCTACTCCAATTAACACGAGGCAGCTCCAATCTTCCAGTTGTCGGCGGTAGACCAAGTTGACGCATCAGAGCTTAGTATTTTCATCTCGCATACGAACGAAGCATTATTATGTGCGGTCAAAAGAAATTGGCATATGACAGTCACAGTTGCCATATTGTTTCCTGCAGCGGTTCGTACACATGTCATCATCATCGGCATTGACCCTACGTGGCAGCTAAACTCAGAGAGGTAAGATATTTTCTAACCCCCCCTATGGTCCAAGTTACCCCATGTCGTCAATTATTCTACCGGTGTTGGTCAAGCATTATGATTGCACCAACTCATTATATGTTGGTTGCGGATGAAAGCTTGCCCAGACATGATAAAACGAGCAAGTTGTTATCGCATTCCTGTTTTCCTGTCACTTCATCTCCGAAGCTTGTCAGACGCCCCCCCCTTGAACAGGACAAGCTGGAGAAACTGTTGTCTCTTATTCCATTGAATCCGCCACACCCTTCCTCAAGGAGAAAGAATCACTCAGCCAGTTGTCATCGATGGTGAAGGCAGTGCCGTACCTTTCTGCTGTTCAACAAGCACTAGCAAATTTTCGCGCTCCCACCCATGCGGCACCAACCCCCGCACTTTCCCTTTCCTCCTCTGTCAGTACGACTCCATCCGAAGACACCACCCTCGATGAAGATGATGACAATGACTGTCTCGTGAACCCTCATATGCCGCCCGCGTCCAAGCAGGTCTTCACTACCCCTCACACAGAGTTCGGTCACTGTGCGAATGAGGCCTATCGTTACGTCTCTAAGCATGACTACACTAAGCCATTCCAGGAGCACGCCGTTGAGAAGCCCCCATTCTATATTTACTTCACTATATACCTAAGCACCCTCATTCTCTACGTGTTGGCTCATTCGCGCGACTTCTTTGGAAAGCGTTTCGCCAAGTCTCATTTCACCTACTTTATGCCCCATAATGTATGTGGCATCTTCTGTCCTCAACCTTGTTTGTTACATCTAATTCATTTCGTTCCATATACAGGGTTACGCGCCGTTAAACTCGGATTTCGATTCCATCTTCCTTCGACGGGTCAAGCGTCGCATGGATGACTGTTACAACCAGCCTATCACAGGTGTCCCTGGCCGCACTTTTCTTGTCCTCGACCGTTACTCCCCCGATTACAACCATACCCAGATCTACACCGGTGGTATGACACGCATGTTGAACATCTCATCGTACAACTACCTTGCTTTTTCTCAAGGCCGCGGCAGCTGGGCAGATGCAGTCGAGGAAAGTGTCCGCAGATACGGCGTCTCCAGCTGCGGCACACATCTTGACACTGGAAGCAACGATCTTCATGCGTCTGCGGAAGCCCTTATTGCACATTTTTTGGGTACGGAAGACGCATTGATTTGTTCTATAGGCTTCGCCACCAACTCCACTTTCATCCCTGAACTCGTGGAGAAGGGGTCCTTGATCATTTCCGACGAGCTGAATCACACTAGTATGCGGGTTGGAATACGACAGAGTGGTGCAGAAGTCAGGATATTCAAGCACAATAATATGTCAAGCCTCGAGTCTCTGCTGCGTGAGGTGATAAGCCAAGGCCAGCCCAAGACGCATCGTGCGTGGAAGAAGATTCTGGTCATTGTTGAGGGTTTGTACTCCATGGAGGGGACGCTCGTGAACCTCCCTAGGATTGTTGAGCTCAAGCAGAAGTACAAAGTATGTAATGCAATTGCTGTTGTGACACGCTGTTTAGTTTTCATTGAAGTTCTACCTCTACATTGATGAGGCGCACTCGATTGGTTCGCTCGGTTCTCGGGGGCGGGGTGTGACAGACTACTTTAACATCCCTCCTGGTTCGATTGATGTTCTGATGGGCACGTTTAGCAAGGGTTTCGGTGCTGCTGGAGGATACATCTCTGGGCCAAAATCTCTGATTGATGCTCTCCGCCTTCGCAGTCACTCTGGTCCGTATGCGGAAGCCATAGCGCCATCCGTGATCGCACAGGTTGTTGTGTCTATGGCCAGCATTATGGGTGTGAGTCCGGCACAACAACCAACCAAATCCACTCCTTTTCCCAGCCTTGGTAACTCGCTCGTCGCGCCGAAGGAAAGTGCAGAGGAGCTCCTGGGAATGGTGCCTGCAAGCATGCTGCCGATGTGGATGAATCTTCCTCCGTCTCTCGCGGACGGATCTGAAGCTCGCACGCGTATGCGCCGTCTTGCCTTCAACTGCCGCTATCTTCATTCGGGCCTTACAAAACTTGGCTTCATTGTCTCCGGACATCCTTCCAGCCCGATTGTTCCTCTGCTTATCTTTAGCCCCGGAAAATTGCCTATGTTCGTGCGTATGATGCGTGCGCGCCCCATACCAATCGCTGTCGCTGTCGTGGCGTACCCCGCCACTTCGCTTTTCATGGGTCGTGCACGGCTCTGTCCTAGCGCGTCGCACACGAAGGAGGATATCGATACCGTGTTGCGGGCATGCGACGAGGTGGGCAGCATTTTAGACATGAAACATGGCTCATGCGAGCGGTGGGGAATTGATGAAGTATGTGAGCGCGCAGTGGAGCTTGTGCACTCTGTGTGAACGCCTGCATGACTGTGTCATCAGGTGTCTGCTCGCCCTTTCTCTATCTGTTGCTCCGTGTCAGCTAACATTTGAGCGGAGCATTTACAAATCACTGCACTTATCGTTCAATTTCAGTGAGATACCGCATTAATACAACCAAGTTGCCACGACGTTTACTTGTACAACGACAAAATAGAGATTTATAATTCCTGACAATACTCACAGCTTTTCGAAAACAAGTTTTTTAATCGCAGGCCATAATAAAAATGCGACTCTCATTTTTCACCATTCAGTTCAGCATGCTTGACAGTGCATCAGACACAGAAAGCACGAGGTGCTCACTGGTCAGAAGCTTAAGGTTCGTAACCTCGACCTCGACGTTGTCATCGGTGGAACTACTCGTCGTTATGCCAGCACAAAAGCCATATCTCAGAAGGCGTAACTCATTGGTGTCCAATATATACTGGATCCAGTGTTTAGTCAATGAAAACCTGGGAACACATCTAGCACTAACACTCCTGTCGACCTTTGCCATCCACGCTTACAACTCGTCTCAGGAGTTACAAGACAACGACTACCTCGACTTATGGAGCATTGATAGCCAAAAAACCTTCAAGGACATGCACACACCCAGGATCAACATCGCATGCACCCACTTCCCGTCGATAGTATTCGAAGACAGCAGGTCAATAATTGAAAGGAGGGTTCCGATGATCGGAATTGGGAGGGAGATAGCACACTTCACCTGCATCGAACCATGCAATCACGGCGTAGGACGACGTGAAAGCCCATCGCTGAATCCTGAAAGCAATTGTATGGAAATATGCAGTTCTTTTCTCTAAAAGAAGTTTCCGACATCGTACATACCAGACGTCGTCTGCCATAACATAAATATCTTGATCATACAACTTTTCATACAGCTCCACCTCCACGGACAGTCAATCGCAATTCACTGAGCCAAGTCGTCGTATTGCTCAGAATTGAGCCCGGCATGGCTGAATACAAATATATCAGCAAGACGGCTGCACCAGATATTGGCACATACGTAGTAGGCGGTGCTGTAAAATAACTTTGATAATTGTTTATATCAAGTCTGCCTTCATTCTGAGAACGTTTGTAGACCCGACTGCTATCATGAACGGGTGTAACTGGCTAAATTTGGTAATAAGCATGACCTCTGACTCCGAGACTTCATGCTTCAAATGCAGCCTGCAGGCCTTTCTTCTCTCAGTCACACTTTCATCTTTTGTTGCATTTTCTGCCGCATAGTGCATTATAGGTTCTTTCACTGTCTGGCATTCTGGCTGGACTCGCACAATCGCATCTCACTCTCGCGATCATCCGCTCGTTGTATCAGTCGAACTCATATAAAATGGATCAGCTCTTATATGCGCTTGGTATTGCCTTCAACTGTGGTTCGTATGTTTGCACTACAAAATACAATGGATTCTTCATTTTGTGTCGTACCGTGCCAGATGAGTTCTTCGACTCGGGACGATACCAGTTATGAATAACTTGGTGGCAAGGAGCCTATCACAGAAAATTTCGAGACTCACATGTCCGCTCCAGCCTCCTGTTAGTGCTGATCAGCAGCCTCCGGCCTTGGTATGCTCAGGTTACTTCGCTGACGTGACTGACCTTGACATTGACTTACGTCCACTTCATTGACACACGTCGTTGCCGTTAGCCTGTATATTTTGGTCTAGGACGAGGGCCAGCGTCTATGGTACCGAACAACAATCGGTGTACACGTGTAGCACCACTCGAATTCCCTCGGCTCTCTATCGCCTTGACTCCATACATAAACCTCATATCGTCTTATCCTACTGTTCGTTCTACCCACCAAACACTTAGCCTATCCCCTCTTTGACATTTCTTGTCATCATGGCCAGTGGCTGGGAAGGCCAATCTATCATACTCAAAGGTCTGTCTCTCCGTACCCCCTCAGTATTGTTTTCATGACCCTCACGTTCTGTTTACAGTCATTGGTGGGAAGAAGATCAATGTCCCCTCTGGGCGGACACCAGCAGGTATCTACGTGTCTGTCAATATTGACTCGAAAAGATGCTGGAAATCAGCTATCGGAGTGTTATCATCCGACAGTTTTGTGGTGTGGGGCGATACTGTGACCTTGTAAAGCTTTCTACATGTACTTGTAGACGCGATTCTGGTGCTCATTATTGGCTTGCAGAACACCAGATGTATCACCTAAGTTATCGGTGGAGATTCGGGCATCTTTTGAGCTCGGCCGAATGCTAGGTCGTGGGGAACTGATTGGAAAGTTTGAAATGTCGTGGGAAGGGTTGCTCGATCGCGGTAACGAGCCTTTCGGTGAGTGATCTGCTTCACTCTCATCTACGTCTCCTCACTAGTCGCAGACCTGTCATTTCCACCTATTCGGGGTGTCTGCCCTTCTCTTGCGGTGAGAGTTGCTTCTATAATTTCTCGTCCAAATGATGGCAGTGTACTGTTTGATGTGAGCGATATAAGCCTTCGTGCTGTTGGCTTTTGCTGACGGAATACAAATTCTAGTCCATCGATGACTGCAAGATTGCTCGAGACACAGATGTGGGCCACATGAGATTATGCGACTACATGAGAGGCAGGGGCGGAGTCCATATCTTGGATGATGCCATGAACTATTTTGAGTTAGTTCTGGATCAGTGTCCGGTCGATCACCCAGACCATGCAGCGGCTCTCACCAACCTTGCGTGGGCCCGCCTTCAAGGATATATCCGTAAGGATCTTCAAGGCATCTACATTACTACCACTCTGTTATGCGATGCCCTTGCACTGCGCCCGCGAGACCACCCCGATCGTCCCCTTTCTCTCTATTATCTCGCCGAAGCATTGATTTGGCGCTTCAGCTATCATGCTATCTCCGTTGATATCTTCAAAGCTGCCCAACTCTGTCATGAGCTACTGTCCCTCTGTTCTGAAGGCACCCATCTTCGTAGTATCGCGGTCGGCAAAAATGGTGTCGATTATGTGGTACGCGCGTGCAACAGTCTTCCTACAGATGCATCCGATGAAGACATCCACCTTCGACGAATCGTGCTCACATTATGTCCTCCGGGAAATCAACACAATTCCAGCGCCATCGACAAGCTTGCCAAGGCAGTGAAGGCACGCTTTCGACAATGCGGCATTGATGATCTAGATCGGAACATACAACTTGGTCGCGAAGTTGTTTCTAAGTGCCCCGAGGAAAATCCCAACCGTATTACCTACTTGATTAATTTGGCCGTGTCCATCCGTAGCCGCTTCGATCACCATGGGGGATCTCATGACCTCGATGAGGTCATTTCTCTCTATGAAGAAGCGCTGCCTTTGCGCTCTGTTGGGCACGAACATCACGATGCGTCATTGGACGGCCTGGGGCGCGCCCTCCTCACCCGTTTCAATGAATGCAATAACATTGATGACATAAATAGAGCTACCGGCCTCTTTCGCAAGGCACTGGCGTCATGCTCACCTGGCCGCCCAAATCGCGACACTAGGCTCAACAACCTTGCCGCCGCGCTCATAACTAGATATGATAAATTGCATGCTAGCGATGACCTTGATGAGGCCATCGATCTATGCCGCAAATCGCTTCTGTTGCTACAGCAGGATGATCATCCGGAGCGCCATAGAAACCTATTCAATTTGAGCATGGCACTCTGCTCTCGTTTTGCACAAACACGGAAGAACAAAGATGTTGAGGAGGCCATTGGTCTCTGCCAAGATTCGTTGGTGGCTTTGCCACCACTGCACCCAGATCGTTATTTCAGCTACAAATGGCTCAAGGAGGCCTATCTGTCTCGTTATCGGGTCCTACCTAACGCTGTTGATTTGTCACTCGCAATGGAGAACTTCAGGTTAGCTTCAAATCACCCTACTCAGGGATTCCCAGAACGCATTAAGGAGGCTGTCCAATGGGCTCGCCAATCAGAAGTCCATAAACACGAATCTGCCCTTGAAGCATACCAAACATGCTTAGACCTTTTCGACAACTACGTGACGCAATCCTCGATTATCTCAAGTCGCAATGCTGTAATCGCCATTGATGGTGCACAATCCCTACCAATGAATGCAACATCATGCGCTATTCGTCGCAATGACCTGCAACGAGGGGTTGAACTTGAGGAGCAGGGTCGCGACCAGCAATGGTCACTGGCCTCCCGACTCAGGACTTCGCTGGACGATCTCAAGTCCATCAATATCCCACTAGCTCACAAACTTTCGGAACTCAGCAAGAACCTATCTGACGCTCAGAATTCCGCAGGCAATGTGGACCGGGCTGCTGCTGATCGGGCAGAAATGGAGTACAGGAGACTTACGACGGAATGGGACACTGTAGTGGCTGAAATCCGCAATCTGCAAGGTTTCTCGCGGTTCCTGCTCCCGCCGTCGTATGAATATCTGCAAATGGCAGCGTGCCGCGGCCCGGTCATTATTCTCATTGCTAGCGAATACTCCTGTAATGCCATCATTGTTCCAGCGTCAGGGCAGCCCCACCACGTTCCCTTCCCGTCTCTTGCTCTCACAGATCTGGAGATGCTCCAGAAGCACTTCGCGAATGTCATACGGGACACGGCTCGCATGGTCTCACAGGAGCCGAGGACAGCGCTGATAGCACTGCTGCGGACGATATGGGACGAGATCATGCTACCTATTGTCAATGTACTACAGCATGATCTTAAATTGCCAAGTTGCTCCCGAATTTGGTTATGTCCAACAGCAGCCTTTACATCCATTCCTCTCCACGCAGCTAACCCATTTCGGATGAATGCAGATCGCTCTGGGCGGGAACCATGCCTGGAGGACCTCTACATTTGCTCTTACACTCCAACACTTTCTGCTCTGATCAGAGCTCGTCAGATGACGACGACACGTGTCACTCCTTCCTTCGCGGCGATCGGACAAGATCGGCCTGGTGCAAGGCAAGGCACAGTCCTCGCTGCTATCGACAGCGAACTTGAGCTTGTCCATAAACATGTTCCTCCCACCGTCAAGTTCACTCACCTTTCTGGAAATGAAGCGACACAAGCTGGCGCACTCGAAGCTTTGCGATGCAACACCTGGGTGCACCTCGCCTGCCACGGCAAGCAGGATTATGAACATCCCTCTAACTCACGTTTCGCGATGAGAAATAAACCTCTTACGCTCCTCGATATTGCAGAAAACGATGCACCGCAACCCGAATTCGCATTCTTGTCGGGGTGTCATGCCGCCCGCGGCGATGAGAAGACGCCGGGCGAAGTCATTCATCTCGCAGCTGGTGTACAGTTTTCGGGGTTCAAGAGTGTCGTTGGCACTCTTTGGGAGGTCGATGACGCTGTTGCAAAACATGTCGTTGAAGCTTTCTACGAGAACATGTTCAAGGATTTGGACGAGGGTGCCATGGACTGTATGAAGGCGGCCTGGACACTCAATAAGGCTACTTACACAGTGAAGAACAAAGTGCCGCTTGAGCAGAGAATCGGTTTCATTCATATTGGACTGTAGTTCTAGGACTTTTCGGGGGATGGTGTTGATGTCGGATTATTTACCAGAACAATTTGTGGCGTACTTCAAGTTGTCATTGTATTGGGACTTTTTTTGATAACCTTGTCATCTATGTACTTACTTTAGCATTTTCTCGTTCTTATGTACTTGGTCTGGTCATTTGCTTGACAAACATTTGGATGTCTGCGGTACTAGTAGTACGTCTTCTGTCGAAGCTGGGAATATCGAATGGGTTCCCCATAAACTATAATTCGAAGAATTTTTACATCATTCTCCCAATAGTGGTCTAGATAATCATCCCGGACTATCTACTAGCCCGGCGAAAATGATGAGCGGTTCACTGGGGTATAAGCAAAGACATGGATATCACCATAAGAGATGGCTCATCGAAAAACCCTACTACGTCACTAAAATAGATGGTTGTTCATATCGGCATGCAGTTGTAGATTGTTGTAGCAGTCTGGTGTCACGCAGGTCTGTATTTCTTCATTCATTGTGGGATGAGCGGAGCAGAGGCGGGTGGAGAAGCGGGTAGAAGTGCTGGTCACGGTTTTAGAAGAGATCTCTTCAGTCTCGAACAGATGCTTACATAGGGTGTTGCATTAGCGATAAGCGTTCATCGGTCTATCATTTATGAAGTAGAAATAAACGATGAAATATCAACACTTACGAAATAGTTAGGAGCATGCCGGGGCGTTCAACGACCATGTTCGAGAACATATAGACGAATGGATATGATCGGAAATCTGCGCACATGTCATAGCACCAAGAATTACTATGTATCTTCGTGACGGGGATGGTAGCCATGCGCGGCATAAATTCAACAAATACAACAATTGTAGAGCTTCTTCTGTTACTCGTGTCATGCGGCAGCACCAACCTCGTACAAGTAGGTACCCAGGACCTTTGTCTATAATCGGACCATAAATTATCACGGACGTCTTCCTATTTGACCCACTCACCCCTTCAATGAAATTCGCTCGATCCAGCTTCTCGTTGGTCGAGCTGGGGAATATGTCAACGAGAAAATAGGGGCCATGAAAGAATCACGTACTGAGCTCCGTCATCTGCTCTGCCCGTAGGCAGCAATAGTACGTTTACGCCCAGGCTCTCCGCAAATGTCAGCGTCACCGGGATCGAGCCCCCCTCACGCGTGTAATCTGGCGTTTTCTTATACACAGCCTGAACGAGTTCTAGTTTGTCACATGGAAGAGGATCGGTGTTTCGGACGCACCTCGATAGCCTTCTTTGCAGCTTCAAAGTTCCAGTGCCTGACGTCTGCAACCCAAGGTTTACCGCCGTGTAGGTACTCTACCTCCATCTTGTTCTTGCTGTTGAACTTCGCAAACTCGGCTTCGAGGTATGCATTGACAAGGGGTATGATCTTCTCCGGAGTTTGCGGGGGAACGAGGCTGATAAGATCGGTAGAGCGTAGATGTCATACCGGAAACAATGAAATGAAGCGAAGAGCCACTATCAGCGTGCGGAGTTAATGAAGTTAGGAATGGAGTTACCGAATACTGAACTTTCCGCCTACTTTGGCAGGGATGACAGTTTTAGCACCGACCGCTGAGAATGCCCCCTCGATGCCGTGCAGGGAAAGGGATGGCTGACGCATCCGGCCCATTAGCACGGTAGTCTTTTCTGATGACAGTGCCACCTTTATAATTCAGTCAGATGTGAGCAATTACAAAAGCAGTGTGACTTGCCTTTCCACCAGCAGCCTCTTCGATATCATCCGTCGTATAGTCCATCTTCTGGTAAAGTTTCCTGCATGGAATAAGTATAGATCCCAACGAAAAGTCTGAGCGCGCACAATTCCTCCTCATCATGGGGTGGGACCATGTCGTCGATGCCAGGAATCAAAATGTCTCCGTTATGATCCACAAGCTTGCTCATGAGTTTGATCAAATCCGTCATGGGTTCGTGCACCGTCCTCCCAAATAACCCTGAATGAAGATCTTGACCGGGCCCAGTTATTTTGATGCTGAAATACGCAATACCACGCAACCCGTACGTCAATGCAGGAGTTCGGGTGTTCAACCAGTAATTGTCACTCTGTCTCATGCGTCAGCACAATGGCATATCTCCACACTGGCAAGCGACGATCACGCACGATGCACACGCAATCAATTCCGTCAAACCATCCATCCTTACCCTTCTTCACCTCCTCCTGGATGCATTCATCCAACCCCTCACTCCCATTCTCTTCCATGCCCTCAAAGCAAATTCGCAAATTCACAGGCATCGCAATCCCTAGGTTCTTGTGTGCCTCTAGGACATTCAACCAGCCCAAAATCGGGCCCTTATCATCTGTCGAGCCACGACCAATCAAGCGACCCGAATCCTTGTCCACCACAAGCGTGAACGGATCCGTGTTCCAGCCGTCCGTCTTTAGTGCCTGTTTTCTGCTGTTCAGTACCACGCTCTTTAGCACAACACACCGCTACAAAGGGCTCACAGGCTGCACATCATAGTGTCCATATATCAACACCGTCTTCTTTGCAGGGTCGCTCCCCAGGCGTCCGATGATGGCCGGGGGGAGCTGCAGAGTCTGCCCCTGCATCTCATGCGTGCCGAGATCTACGAGCTTAGTCTCGACGCCAAGGTCATTTAACTGGCCATTTAGCCAATTTCCCATCACAATGACGTCCTGACGTCGATTAGCATCGCTACTGATACTGTATGCATAGGAGTCTTGAATTGAATTGGAAAGTTGATTGTATACGACTGCGGTACCTACCTTTGAATAGCAACGGCATCGCCCAAACGCTTGATGAATGCATCTGCGTGCGTGTCGATGTAGTTACTGAAGCTTGCTGGAGCTGGCATTGTCGTTGCTGATGAAGAGATACCGTATGATCTAGGCAGGTCACTGGACCGATGCAACCTACTTATATCGCTGTACTGCGGCCCGGATCTACGAAGGCACGGGCGCTATATAGTCGTCTATTTATTACCGGCTCATCGCCAGCATCACACACTCAACCTTCTTCTCATTCCTGAATGTCCACCGCCATCAGCAATAAAACGCGAGACCAATAATATATCTGCAAGAAAAAGGTGGATAAAGTGTTTTGAACTGAAGTGGCAGCCTAAGACGCAAGTAAGGACGTCGTCGTCGTGTGGTAGTGTATGTACTGAAAAGAGCCAATATCCAGAATCCTCGTTAATGTATGTGTCATTTTTCTCGTGGCTTTCGTCATCTAACCTGTATACGGATCACCTTGTATTACTTCGTTGTGGTACGAAGTCAAGTCGTCGTCAATAACTTACATGGAGGGAAACAGCAAGGGAGACGGTCGTGCTGGCATTCACACAGAGTGTACAAGCTCCACTGCGCGCTTGCAGACCTCGTCGATCCCCCACCGCTCGCCTAATCCATGCTTCAGGTCCAGGATACTGCCCACCTCATCGCACGCCCGTAACACCATATCGATGTCCTCCTTTGTGTGCGATGCGCTAACACAGAACCGTACCCTACTGGTAACAAGCGGTGTGGCAGGGTACGCCACGACAACGACAACGATCGGCGTGCTCCGCGAACGCATCATGCGCGAGAACATGCTCATCTTGCCCGGATTGAAAATGAGAAGGGGCACAATCGGGCTGAATGGATGTCCGTAGGTGATAAAACCGAGTTTCTTGAGGCCCTGGTGGAGATACCGCGAGTTGAAGGCAAGACGACGGATACGCATACGAGCTTCAGAACCGTCTGCAAGAGCCGGATGGAGATTCATCCATGACGGCAGCATGCTTGAAGGTGCCATTCCTGGATGCTCCTCTGCACCGTCCCTTAGCGTGACGATGGAACTAGCAGGGCTGAGCGTGAGTGCGGATTTGGTTGATTGTGATGACGGAGCGACGCCCATGATGCTAGCCATCGACGAGACGACCTGAGTGAGAACGGGGGGCGTCATAGCTTCTGCATACGGCCCGGAGTGACCATGCAACCGGAGTGTATCGATAAGGATTTTAGGCCCCGCGATGTATCCACCAGCAGCACCAAAGGACTTGGTGAAAGTGCCCATCAAGACGTCAATTGAACAAGGAGGGATGTTAAAGTAATCTGTGACACCGCGCCCACGGGGACCCAGCGCGCCGATTGAATGTGCCTCATCAACAAAGAGGAAGAACTTGGACGAAATATCAACATCGTAATACAACACGCCAACTGTGGTACAAACCTTGTACTTCTGCTTCAGTTCGACAATTCTAGGCAGGTTCACGAGAGTGCCCTCCATGGAGTACAAACCTTCCACGACGACTAAAATCTTCTTCCACGGACGATGCGTCTTGGGCTGACCCTGGCTGACCACCTCGCGTAACAAGGACTCGAGGCTTGACATATCATTGTGTTTGAACATCCTGACCTGCGCATTACTATGGCGTACACCAACGCGGATACTAGCATGGTTCAGTTCATCGGAAATGACGAGGGATCCCTTTCCCACAAGTGCGGGGATAAAAGTAGAGTTGGTAGCGAAACCCATCGAGCTGATCAATGCATCTTCCATGCCGACAAAACGTGCAACAAGGGCTTCGGCAGATACATGAAGCTCGCTGCTTCCGCTCTCAAGACGCGTGCCGCAAGTGGAAACGCCATACCGACGGATGCTTTCCTCAACTGCGTCTGCACAGCCGCCACGGGCCTGGGCAAAACCGAGATAGTTATACGAGGAAATGTTCAGCGCACGGGTTTTGCCACCAGTGAGGATTTGAGTGTGATTGTTGTCCGTGGAATACCGGTCGAGGATAACAATAGTGCGTCCTGCAACACCGGTGACAGGCTGGGAAAAGCAGTCATCCATGCGACGCTTTAGCCGACGGGTGTAAAAGGAATCGAAATCCGAGTTCAATGGCGCGTAACCCTGGGTACAAAATGGATTAGGTGATGGGGGACAAGGTTAAGGAGGAAAGAAGATTGCAACATACATCATGGGGTATAAGGTGGGTGAAATAAGACTTGGTAAAACGTTTTCCGAAGAAGTCACGCATATGACCAAAACAGAGGAGAATGAGGTAACTAATATAGGTGGTGAGGAGGATATAATATGGAGGCTCCTCGATGGTGTGCTCTTGCACAGGTTTGGAGTAGTCATGCTTGGAGACGCAACGATATGCCTCGTTTGCACAGTGACCAAACTCCGTGTGAACGGTGGTGAAGACCTGTTCAGAGGTTGGGGGTGTAAAGGGGTACGCGAGACAATTATTCTCATCGTCCTCGTTGAGAATGGTGTCTTCTGATGAAGCCGTGACAGAAGATGATAGTGAAAGTGCAGGGGTTGATGAGACCGAAGAATTGTCATGACTGCGAGCGCGCGTATCTGCTTGGTGAACAGCAGAAAGGTAGGACGCTGCGGTCGTCATTGACGACAACTGGCTGAGTGATTTTTTCTTTTTGAAGATAGACGGAGAACGTGATGGCGGATTCAACGCCATTGGTGAAGGCATCTTTCTGGTGTTGGTCAAACCACAGAACGAGCACGATGGGGAACGGGGTAACTTATAACGACCTCGAAAAGGGATGTTATAAAAACTTTGCTTATGTCAGAAATATACACGCCCCCCCGCCCCTAGCGCTAGCGCTGATTTCCGGTCTTTAGTTAGTAGCACTCCGGTTATCTTACTCACTCTTGGGAACATTCTTAATTCACCATCTCCCTCTGTTTGACGGTCAGGTCGGCTGTTTATTTGAGCATCATGACAGAGGACAAATCCTCCGATTGTGCCATTTAGACATTACACCATCGACAAGGGAGGAAATTGACCCCAAGTGCGGCAGGTATACTACCACGTGTCAAATCTATCATCATGGAGGATGCTCAACACCATGTACACGCTTGTCATTATTCAAGCGAGTTTAGCACCTCCTGTCCGCACAAAATCCCAGAAGGAACGGCTATCTTCCTTTTTGAACTAGCTTGGGAGAGCAAGAGAACCCTTTTGTGTATGATTTGGAACGACTATTTTCCTTCGTCTATATATGTCTACTAAGCTGAGGGAGACTAGAGTGAGATTCTCAGGGTGACAATCGCCAATACCGTCTTGCCTTGAAGTCAGTCAGCACTTCAAACTTTTGCTTTTGATTCCCTTCCTTCCTCTGCTCACAACTCGACGTTACAGATCCTTTGCGCACTTGGGAAGCGATGGCTATGACCACCTTTTCAATATCGATGATAGGCATTTGAAGCTTTGCATCTGGTCCTTCTCATCAATGCCACCCTCCCTCGGCTCGTCACGTTCGGAATGTTCTCATTCATCACCCGACAGCAAGCGAGTCCATTGCGTTGCAACAGCGCTCAAAACTTAGTCTTTTCACCTTGCACACTGGCGCGTATAGCTTGTAATAATCGTTGCTAGAAGAAAAAAAACAGGTAAGCCGCGTGTGTTGAGTGTCCCTCTCTCCGCCATATACACAACGGAATATCCAGAGGGTCTACGTAGCGCCTCCTCCCTGTGAAGACTAATGTTCAGGCTAGTCAGTTGTCCTCTGTGACAGTTCAACGTGCAGCGCAGCACACTTGACATCCCAGCTACAGGCCCAGAGGGCGATATGACGACTTGCTCGAGAAGACTGTGTTGTTGTACTCTGGTGCATTCGATGTCGCACTCAACTACTGTCTCCGCGTGATATGACTCTTCTATATGTGATGTGTATCTAGTCGAGCCATCAGAGTCTGAAAGATATTTTGAAGCTCGCTGTTTTGTCCTGAGGTGTATTGAGAAGTCGGATCGAGAGTTCCAAAGACTTGTACATACAGTAGTAGTTGCCATGCTCTCCAACTCAAAAGTTCGTCGCATCATGTTGGGGTTAGATGTATACAAGAAGAAAAAAATACAACACTTGATCAATAGCAAAAGACCTAGCTGAAACACGAGTAAAAATCAACTCGAAGTCCGTGGTAACGTACTCGAAGATGTGCTGTTCTGGTTCTTCCCATTCCTCCTGTCACGAAATCCCTTTGGAGGGGAATCATTGGTCCAACCCACCCCCTTTTCCGCATCTGACGGACCTGTAGGGGTACGCAACACCGCAGACGCTGCAGATCCAGTATCTGCTCCCTTACCACTACCGTCCCTCACCCCGCGTCGGCTTTCCGGGTCATCACTGCCACGCTCGCTTGCCGTTCCAAATATTCGATCGCGAGCTTCTTGATATTGAGCCTCACGCTCAGCAAGAGTGTTGCGCGTCTGCGAAGAGAGTGAGGTGGTGGAATTCGAGGCTGATTGGGAGGGAGAGGGCCGTTTCAGGATGCGCATCGTCGGTTGGAAGGCAGCTGGGGGAGGCGGGACGACGCATGTCCCGGTGCTTGAAGGGGATATGATCAGCTCTGGCATGGGTGCTTTTTTATTTCTGCAATGTGCAGGGAAGTTAACACTGAGGGCGACAGCTGAAGAAAAATGGTAAACTCACGCGTCCTCCCAGACTTTGACATTGTCTTCTTCCTCTTCTTCATCATTGTCCCAGTCGTCTGGGACAATCTGTTTCGGCTTCCGCTGTGATTTAGTTGCAGGGCCTAGGCCAGAGTAATCCTAGAAGAGAGGCTCTGTCAGGTCATGATTACCCGCTATCAAATATCATCACTTGCGCTGGGCTGGCCCCAAACGTCTGCAGATGTGGATCCTTGAGAACTGGTATCGATCATGTTCTAGGCTCTAAGATTCAAGGATCCAACTCTACCATGAAGCTTCTACGATAACCCAAATCACTGTCGGTGGCTCTGCAAGCTGCAAGCTCCGCTGACAATGAGCACGTGCCACTGACTTGCGTGACCCAAAACACCTACTCCGACTCTCCGACTCTCCGACGTGAACAACTAGACTCTAGAGGAAGGACGTTGCAATATGTTAGATCCAGATAATTCAAATAATAAGTACGCATAATCGCAAAGCAGAATGTCGACTCGAGTAGCTTGTCAATCCAAGATGAGGCGCAGGTCATTGGCAACAACCAAAAAGGAAAATCAAACATTTCGTCGGTCGTCACTCGCTCAGCACCCATGTAGATCAGCAAACATTGCACGCAAGTACGAAATAACATGCAGATCAAAACAAACGCGATAACAGCATGAATGCATATAAACCCAAGACCTCAATGTGTCCAGCACGTACAAACATTCAATCATTCCTCGTCGTCATCATCATGGTTCGCCCCGGGCCTGAACAACGCCAACAGATCATCCATGCCGAGTTTCATATTCTTCATCTTCTCTCCACTCAACGCCGCTTTCGTGAGCTCGCGTTTTTTCTGTTGAAGCTATATAGCGCCGTCGCTCAATTACAGCTTTAACCGCAAATGTTACATAACTTACCTCGAGGATCCGCTCTTCGACAGTCTCGGGAACAGTGAGCTTGAAGATATTGACTTCACGTGTTTGCCCGAAGCGATGAGCACGATCGAATGCTTGGTCCTATCTCTGCGGTTAATTTTGAATTCAAAAGTGAACCTGGGACGGACCTCAAGCGCAGGGTTCCACCACATGTCAACGAGGACCACATTATTGCAGCAGGTCAAGTTCAACCCTGGAGCGCAAAGGTTATGAACTCATTATCACTGTGAGGTTGAAAGGGCGTACCAGTACTTCCGGCCTTGAATGAAATCAGGATACAGCGCGTGCTTTTGCTGCTTCTGATTTTCTCTAGTGATGCCTCACGCTTATCCTTCGTCATGCTTCCATCATCTACATCACGCCATCATAGCAAGTCAGAAACCTCAAGTTCAAGAGACGAAAAGTCAAAAAGACATACACCGGGCAAACTTGATCCCCTCGGCAGTCAAGAATGGTTCGATCAGGTCCAGCATGCTAGTAAACTGAGAAAATATAATCGTTTTTTCAGCACTCTCGCTTCGTTCATCGATATTCCGAAGAATTTCCAGCAACTTGCGAATCTTCGCCGAATCCGGAGGTAAGTTGGGATCACGAGCGGTTGGTGCAGCCACAGACTTGCGGCGGGCCTTGGCAGCGATTTCAGTACAATCGGGGCAGTGATCTGAGTCGGACGAGGTAAGGCTGCGCAAAGAAGACGGGTTAGAATCCATACTGTATGTCAGCGAAGGTAACATACTCTGTCTGACACAACTGGCATTTCTTGCCACTCGAGACACCCATCTGTCCCAAAAGCGTCGCGAGCTCGTCGGCATCTTCATCAGCATCGTTCTTAGCAGGGCGGGACTCGGTGGCTTCTGAGTCAATGCGGTAGTCCTTGTACACGAGGGACGGGTGGTTGCAAGCTAGTGAATCTGTATTAGCATGCGATGCAAAGTCAGTACACGAGCCAACCCACCCTGTCTCAGTCTCAGAAGCATAAGCAACACGTGAGTATAATTCTTGGATGCTTCGTTGGCCTGAACAAGTTTGTCAAGTTCGTTGGTCATGCGTTTCATGAGCGTGTTGTAAAATGCTTGCTCGTCTGAGTCGAATTTGCATTGAACAATAGTCAAATGCCGTGCCGGAAGGGATATGATAGGTTTTCCGTTAAGGACGAAATCCTTGGTACGTCGGAGCATGATGGATTGGAGAACGACCTGTACAAGATGTCGAGTTGTAGGGCAAGTAAATTAATGCGCATGAACAAGAGGACGCACATGAAGTCGTTTAAGGGCACGCACTGGTCGCCCAGCCTTAATAGGCTGAGCGATCTGTTCGTTGAAGTTTTGCCAGTCGTTTAGCGGACGTACACGAAGAAATTTGAGAAGAGAATACAGTTCATCCACTGTATTTTGCCTGAAATTTTTTTGTAAGACTGCCTTCACATGGCGCGAACTTTGGACGAACATGGGTGTGCCTGTAAGACACCAGCGAAACTTCCCATCTAGTTCGCAGCATGCAATAGCCGCTTTCGTATTTTTGTTCTTGATATTGTGTGCTTCATCTTTGTGTACATGTTAGATAATTATCCAGCAACTTGGGCGGCAACGTACCAAGGACAATTCTAAACCATTTCACGTGGAATAACGCGTCCTTGCCTTTCGCCTTTCCAGGCTTCTTCTTCGCGGCGACCTCATCAGAATCTAAGTCCGAGTCTGATTGGGATGCTGCCTTCTTAGATTTTGACTTGGACTTTGATTCGTCCTTCGCGGGAGGTGCAAAGGTCGCGTATTCAGAAGCGACAATGGAATACGAAGTGACTACAACGTGAGCAGCCTTGAGTTTCAGAGGGTCTGTGCTGCATTTAGTTGGATGTCATTCAGAGTAGAAGGGTCCTACCTGTAGTACGGCTTTGGCCATGATGTTCAATCACACGTAATCCCACAGCCATCTTCGCGATCTCGGAGGCCCATTGAGAGACGAGTGCAACTGGACAGATAACCCTAGAAATCACGAGATTAACAAAGAAAAAAGCGAGGGCAATTGAAGCCTACAAAGTCGTGGCAGCCCAACCGTCCGCTTTATCAGATTTTTTGGCACGACCATCAACAATCCGCGTGAGGGTCTGAATAGTCTTTCCAAGACTGCACAAAAAAAGCTTGACTACACGCTAGTAGCAATAGTACTGACAGTCTTACCCCATATCGTCTGCAAGTATTCCGCCTCTCTTCTTGCCTGTTTCTTTCTCGCGCATCCAGGCGCGACCAAGGACCTGATGCGGGAGAAGCGTGATACCATCTTGGAAGCCCTCCACAATAGCTTCCTCCATGTCAATCTCAATTTCATCATCAGGGGTAATACTATCCTCTACAAGAGCGCGCAACGCCTTTTCAGTCTCGGTAGCGGACATTCGAGGCTCGTAGACGTATGCCTGATGGGGCTCATCCACCGCCGGATTAAGGTTGGAAGGGCCTAAAAGAATATCACGATTTGAAGGAATGTGAATGGGTGCCGGGACTTGTGTGCGCTGTATAGGAGGCACTGGAAGGGCCTGTTTCAAGGTATCCATGACGAAGTTGTTACGAGCGGCTGGTGGGGGTTGAGCAGAGGGTTGCGATTGGGTATCAGGTCTACTCAACAGCATCGCCAAAAATTTTGTGAATCTCACGCTACTTAGAACAGCTGAGGAGAGCGAGTACGTACATATCCTCGCTTTCTTCGTCAGATGATATGACAATTGTTGTTCGGCCTCTGTTTCGAACTGTCGGTGCCACCGTCGAGGCTGCAGAAGATGTCGAAGAGCTTGAGGAACTTGAGATCGACTACATAATATCGTGGTAAGTTGAGAGATGAAGTTGAACATGAGGACGTACGATTACGCTTGGCGGTTCTGTAGTCCTTCCATTGGTTGGCTTCTTGAACTCTGGGTATAAACCAGGGTCAACTGCCATCTGTTTGCGACTGAAAAGTTGCTCAGGTATTTTTCAGGATCTTAAACATGGTACATACAGGCGTTCCATGGTTGTAGGTGGGTCAGTGTATGTATGTATTAGCTGAAGGTAGTTTGATGATCGCGGTTGAAGAAGACGTGTAATTAAAACAACGCGTCCTAATTGATCGTCACGTGGTCGTTTGTATTACATACTCTCAACAGTCGGATTGCTTTCACGCACCACTGACATGAGCTCGCAACGTGCACACACGCGTTCCGATTATATTTTCTTCCTGTCCTACCGAACTCGCTGGTGCAGTCCACTCTTACTTAATGACCTCACATATTTATGAAACTTAACCCATGTCAAGGATCGACAACGATCAGTACTCACACATCAACAATTCCGTCTACTACCATCTCTTTGACTCTGTAGTAAACACTTTTCTCATCCAACGATGCGGACTCACCTCTGATTCTGCCCAAATTGGGCTGGTGGTCTCGTCCCATTGCCAGGTAGGTACTAGTGCGAAGCCGCTCTCCGCCATGATCAGGTGTTTACAATTTCAACCATAGTTTTTCTCCCCCCTATCATTTCCTCAGGTCCTGGACCTCGGCCTTCGGGTACTGAAGCTCGGTTCAAGTTCCGTGACGTATGAGGTCGCGGTGTTTGAGGAAGGAAAGGATGTACCCGCAGCTGTTGGGGGTTATACCCATGTTTTTGTTGAACGAGGATCCAGGAAGAGTACCCCCATGAGTGAACTTCTGCGGGAAGGTCTTTCAGGCCTGTTATCGACCAATGAGAGCTTGGAATCCAAGCTTTGAAGTGCGCTTACTCTAAATCTTTTTGGAATTCTTAGAACTGAGTCACGAATGAAGAACCTCGAGGGTGCTGCATATGACAAGCGCACTTGCCTGATTCTAGTCTCTGAACTCATGCTACGTCTCTAGTGCTCGCGTGCCCTGCATGACCGATGTGATCGCTGTAGCGCGGCCTTCCGATCATGCCTAGGCGATTACTTTCTTTCTTGGCTAATGCTATTAACTATATTATATTTATGTATGCGGCTGCCCTGTTCTAGATCTGCGTTATCGCGTCGTCTAAGCGATGCGGCTCCAAGTAATTTCAATAGAAGGTGTCTTCAAACCAGGTCTGTCCCGGAGCTTCTTCTCAACGCCCAAGGTTCATGTGACCAAGCTCTCTCGCACACGGTTGACAGGACCGTTCTCAACGCTGCGATTAATGTCATTGCAAACCAAGCACAGTCAGCTCTCCTTGGTACATCCGTCTGCAGATAATTCGCAGATTGGTTTCAAAGACGAACTGTGACCTCGGAGTCCAATGCATTGTGTATAAAGAAAATTCAAACTACTAAAATACATTTTAGACGGCACAGAAATTCGTTGACCAGAATTAGGTTAGCTACGCAGCGGAAACCTACACGCGACTTGACTGTCCTGATGGAGTCCATCGTGATCCGTGTGGCGAACAGCATCCTGTCTTTGGTGGCGATAAGCGGTCATGAAGCCCATTTACCTTGGCTCCATGAGTAAAATTACAATGTCTCTTGACCTGGAACAGGTACTATCTGACTTCGGAGACAGGACAAGGGCGATGGAGGCGGTGCGCAAAACGAGTAGCGCTCAGGGACTCGTGCACATGTACGTTGCATAATATCAAAGCCAACTTTACGGCCCCGACAAATCACAGCAGGCAGCTATGATTTTCCGACCCAGTGATGTCACGAGTAGCCCGCAACAGCGGCCCGAGTATGCGATATCTTCGTGTGGTGACGCACTGATCGGCGCCCATTAGACATCCCCGGATGGAAGGTGACAAGGGCCACTGAGTGCATAGAATCATTCAACTCCTGCCATAATCATCATTGTGGGGTTCGGTCTTATTGGTAAAAGAGAGGCCAGACCAACATGGAATTGATAATTCCTGAAGCTTGCTCATTCTTGTCCCCCACGCCTATCAACACGCAGCATCAGTGGCAATTTTGCAGAATGACGGCGATGTCACCAACTGGGTTTAAGTCGTATACGATTTTGTCCACTATGTCATGCAGCAGTGGTTCGTGCCCTTCCTATCTATGTGATAGAAGGGTATGATGGAAGTATGATGCGCCCCATTCGGAGGTCTGCATGCTTCGTTAATGATGACAATCGCTCCTTGTACTTGGTGCTCGTCGTGAAGGGATTTAATCGTGCCCCTTGATCACATAAAAGTTCAGTAGGAGTGTGGGCGATTGTCAAGACGTCACTATCAGACAGCACCTTCTTCTTCAAAAGGAGATATGCTACAGCTGGCGCAGCTCTGAGGCATACTGACGCATATGGCCTAGCTCGTACCCGGGGCCCAAGTATGTTTGGACTCTGGAGGGCCATCGGTAGCACCGTGTACTAGTGCATCCTAGTGCCCAAGAAGGGTCGAGTTCGATGAGTGCTGGCTACGAAACGATAGGTGCAATGGCACTTTCGGCGCATGCTTTCAAGAAGTGCACCTTCCATAACATTTTTTTTCCGACTGGGGTATGTGACGATCATGATATCTCGGCTAGTACTTGTTGTGGGGGCAGAACCGCTCCCAAATAAAACCGTGGGAGCAATTCCGAACTTTCGGGCACAAGCTCGTCACTCGGCACTAAGCCCGTGCTGGACAGTCCGATTTGACCATGATCAGCTCTAGACTTCAAATTCGTTTCGCTCTAGCGATAATTTCGAATTGAACATGGCCAGTGATATCTAAGTCCGGATATTTTCGCAACGCCGTCAAAATGTGAGTTTTGTCTCGGATTGGCAACACCACAACAGCTTGAGTTTGATCACCATCGAGTATAGCTTGATAGCCTTGTTGCTTGCCACTGCACCCAACTGATCATCGATCATCACTTATATCCATCATGTACTGATCCCCTCTGATGGCTTCCCCAAATCGTCCTGCGCAACGAAGTGCACGGCAACGGCCTGTAGCAGCACGAACTTCCCCGAACTGTGCGATGCTTTACCTCGTCCTTGAACTCAACGACTTGCAGATCATCGATGAGCCAGAGTACTGGACCCAATCACGTGCCATGTTTCTCCATTGCTTTAGGACTTGAGCCTCATCTGGTGGAGAACTGTTCATCAAGTCGATCTCCCATAAGTGGGGCCCGGCTGGGGGATCACGGTAAATGCGTCGTCTCCGATTGGCGTCGCTATTCTTGGGCTATTCCAATTGAATTGACTGTCTCACCAGAAATCCCTACAGACTATATAATCTTGTCTTCTGAACCTGTCACCGTACGCCGATATCGGGTACTAGTCAACGTGCGACCAGCGGCTCCTTTATCATCTCCAAAAGTCTCAAAAGGGTTTGGTGGATGGAATTTTCTGATTCTCTTTGCGGTAGAACTTTGGGGTCACTTTCTCGAGGCTGCTAGTGCGGCAGGCCGAGGCTCTCAGAGAGAGCCGCTTCACAAGCTATAACCCTTTTGAATTGTTTCTTGTAAAGCTCTCGTTAGACATATACATGCTATTAGCTTCAACCGCCGCCATTACTCATTACTGTATTGCATTTATGTAAACGAAACTTCCTGTGCCTCCATATCAGCAGGCTCATCAAGCACCGCTCACAAATTAATCTGAGATCAAAACGCCGAATATTAGTGTGGGTTATTCCGCTGCAGCTCACCCTAAGAATACCAGTGCTCCAATTGTGTAACTTCCAGGGACCGTGACTGTGCAACTTATCCGACCAGTCACATGTGAGCGACATTGTTCGCTTACAATCTTACAGTTACACGTGCCATCAACTCATATTATCGTCGTCGATCATGTAGTTCCAAGATATCTGTACATGTTTCTTTTTCGTGAAAGCCATGAAAAAACGTTCTAGTACTGTATGTAATAAATAAATAATCATCACATCAATTACGTGCAAGTCAACTAAAGCAGTGTCATGTCCCAAGAACCTCGCATGCCCAAGACAGCTGATCATAAACCCAAAACGAAATAGGATAGCAGGTATCTCGCCAATTGCGTCCGCATGAAACAGGCGTAGGCGTCTCTTCAGATAACAACAATATACTGGAGGATCAAGCATCAAACTTCTTGGCGAAATCAAAGATGACCCTGGCGATATCAGCCTGCACGATTAAGGAGAGTGCGGAATATAGATTTGAACCTTGACGACGCTCCAGCAGCCCGCGGCGATTTCGGAGTTGGAGGAGTCGGAAAATGGGGCACGGTCGGTGAAGCAGGTGCCGTCTGTGGTCTCGGACGTGGGCGCTTCAGGCGTGCCGTGGGCTTCGGAGTCGGAACAGGGATGGGAACAGCTAGAAAAGAGGGTTTTACGAGGGGCGAGGGAATCACCGGAGAAATTTCTTTAGCGCGTGGTGCGGGAACGGTCGGTGACGCAGCGGTGATCGTGACCATAGGAACTGTCCACATAGGATGGACATTAGGATCCGGTGCTTGGTCTTGACCGTGAAACCCATTCCTGGTATCTAGAGCAGCAGGTGCAGAGCCTGATGTGCCATATGAAGCGAATGATGCGTAAGAGGTGACAGTGCAAAAGGAAGATGACGATGGTTGTGATTCTTGATCATGCGAGGCATTAGGGGGGTCGACACAAGTTTTGGATGCATGTGCATGTCCTGAGTCATCTTGCTGGTCACTGTCAGTATCACTGCCCCACTGCACTACCATGCTCTGCTTCAGGTTCGACGGAATTTTGGGAGAGGAATATTCTGCGCCACGAGAAGTAGTTTGAAGGCTCGAAGCATTGATAGAAGTAGCACCGGTATCCCGCGACCCCATGGTACTACTACCATCAGTCAAGCTTGAACTAGAGTTTCCCGCACTTGATGATACACTGGAAGAAGACGTGATAGGTGGAGGAGGCAGCAAGGTGATAGTAGTTGCGCTACCTGTAAGACTATTATCTATTCCGTACCGGGAATCAGTTTCAGGCATTCTTTGCCGTGTGTCAGTCCTCATGGGAGACTTCACATCAAGGCTCTGTGAGGCCAACTTGGGTTGCCTGTGAAAGGAGGGGGAGGGGATGAACTGGAACGTCAATCGACGACTCGGACGTTTGTTCTCCTTTCCGTTATCTCCTATCTCTTCTTCAGTCGGCAGAACATCTTCCTGGAGGGTCGCGTCCGGTGTGGGAACATTCGGAGTATTCTGTCTTGCACTAGCTCTGAAAAACGGCGAAGAAGGTCGAGGTATCCACGGTAATGAAGCGGCAGCCAACTGTGCTGGTGGTACCTGAACAGGTGGTTTTCGAGATTTGGTAAGCTTCTTGCGAGACCTGACGTGTGCTTCGACGGATGGTGTGCCTGACGCCTTCAAGTCCACCTTCGATTCAGGAGTCGCCTGCTCGGTGGATATGTCACCGGAGACAAGTTCTTCACGGTCATGGGATGTGCCGGAAAACCTGCTGTCAGACACGGGGACAGGCGAAACTTCGCTGACTTCCAGAATCCTGACCACTCGGGTGCGTTCTTGTGATGCAGTAGGTTGTGCCGCGGTGTCCGCCATTAGCGGTTCGCGGGTAGGTGCATCGGATTTCTTCCTTCTCGAGCTCGCCTTTCTGAGCACCCTTCGAGAGTTTGCCCTTCTGAGCACCCCGTCATCCTCTGTCACAGATATCTGTCGCTGACGAGGGCCAAGATCGTCGTCCATATCCAAAAACACGGTATCCCCGCTTGCCCCGCTCATTTGCGAAAGGCGACTCACGGCATCCACGAGACTGATGCGTGAATGACGCTGGGTTGGGTTGGGGTAAGACTTTCTCCGTATTACGCCGGGATCAACCGTAGATATGACGGCATTTTCTGCCTCGTTCTCAGACGATAATGAGAAGAAGCTGCTGCTGATCGAACTTGTCTCAGACAATGCGGATTCCCGAGAACCTGGGGAGAGAGATACATGGGATACCCGTGAGGACGGAAGCGAAGGAGACGAGGCACGCCGGGAAGACCTATTTCCGGATGGGGAGACGGAAGGGGAGGAACCGGAGGCCTCTATGATATCAGGTAGTGAATTTACACCTTCCTTGCCGAAGACCGGTGAGCCAGATGTAGCCGAATACACCGTGTTTGTCATCATGCTGGCACATTTTCGTCTGCGGTATTCCCTGGCACTTAGGGGCATCACGACTGGTTGTGATGATATTGATTGCCTGGAAAAGCGGGGCGTAGACGCAGGACCAAATGGAGAAGATGACATCCAGTTATCATTCGGATTTCGGGACACTGAAGGTTTTTGGGAGATTGGTCGAGCCACACTTGGTGAGTAGGCTTGTGGGACATGAGCTGGCGTGAGAACTGTTTGTGATGGAAAAGATGCTGAGCGACTATGTCCGAATGATGCTTGGGTAGGAAGTGGCGCTGCTGGTTCATCCTTGGGATGGCGTCGAAACAGACTAAGTGTGGGGATAACGCTCTTTGTTGGTCCCGTTGTGGGAATTCGGTGTGCATGCGAGGAGAAGGAGGATGAGCTAGCAGAACCAGTATAAGAAACGACAGATGAGGGTGGGGAGCGCGAATATGGACGGGCGTCTAGGCCGAGGGTGGGAATAGCACCGGCACTCTTTGACGGTCCGACTAAGGGTCTGGGAGCACGATGGGCATGCGAGGACGTAGTCGCAGAAATAGAACCAGTGTGAGACATGACAGATGAGGGTCGTGAGCGAGAATATGAACCAACGTCAACGCTGAAAAGGCTCGGGCATTGTGATTGACTTGAATCGAAAGATGCGATCGATGGATTACTAGAGAATGCTAGCCCAGCGAGAGGAGAAGAGCGTAGTGGACGGGAAGCATGGAGAGATGTTGGATATCCTACGGGTGCAGGTGTACTTAATGGTTGACCTGCACGTTCGCGCAATGCAGGGCGATGTGCCACCGCCACAGGCTGTAATAGAGAAGGTAAGGTACGACGAGCAGACAACCGGAGAAAAACTCACCTCATCGCAGGGTTGGGACATGGCAAGTTGGGAAAAGTCTTGAGGGGGAAGCAAGTGTACATATAGGAAAAACTTGTGACGCGGGTTAGGATCAGACCGAGACCTTGCTCAGGTTAGTGCCTCGAGGCGTTTTCGAGGCACTGATCGGTAAATCGTAAACTTAGCCAAGACTAATTATAATACAGGTATTAATCAAAATCACAATTCCGACAACCCTTAATAATAGAATGACGGTGCACATGAGCACTGCCCGAGGGCACCGGTATCTTACAGTCGTCGCAACGTTGACTATACCTGTGAAAGACCAAACCTTGACCTCCACAAAGAACGGATATCTTGTCAGCGGTGAGATTTTTTTGATACGTAAAGGATATATCCATGGTTTACTATCAATGATGCGTGGACTTCTTCCCATCCACAAACATGTTCCGAGTGGCACTAGGCAGTGTCGCTATCATGTCGTCCATTTCGCGAGTTATATGCACTTGACATCCCAGTCGACTCGTGTCAGTTAAACCGAACGCCATATCCAGCATGTCATTTTCATCGTCAGATGGCTCGGGGAGTAAATCATAATGCTCGGGCGAGAGAATAACATGACACGTCGAACAAGCAACTGACCCTTCACATGCTCCTGATGGATTCAACCAAATAAGTTCAGCTGACCAAATGACGTCAAACGAAGCACTACTCGCGAGGTACCTTCTAGGTCAATGTCATGCTCATGCGCAACTGAAAGAATGTCATCCCCCTCGTTCGCTTCGATGGTCTTCAACAGTTTACCCTTCGAATCTTTGAAATGCAATTTAATTCTGAAGCAGAGTCAGGGTCAGCTCGGGTCGTGTTTCCGATATCCTGCGTACCCAGTACCAGGATCTGGCCTAGTCACATTTCCGTGACGCTGTACTTGACGAATCGTGGTCGGTTTAATATTCAAAATAAAAAAGTGAGATACGTACTCTGCGAACCGTGTAACCATCTCCGCAAGCTGGGACTCCCTAAATTTTGTTTGTTTGACCGCGTCCAGTGATTCAAGAGCTGCACTGGACGCTCGCGGGCAACAGAAGATATTCGCACAGAGCGAAATACGTGGAAAGATGACATTAATGATGAGGGACACAGAAAGGGTGTGGACAATGTTAATATTAATATTGACAGTGAGCAGCAAATGTCAAGCGAATTATTACATAAGCTGACTTATTCGGTCAGCGTCCGCCGTGCGAGCTTGCCGAGGCATCCTCCTTTACGACGTACTACATACAATGGACGACATTTGTCATTTGGTAGGTCGATGCTAAAGACTGTAAACACGAAACTCATGAAATACGTCGTAACACAGGATAGCGACTGGTTTGTCAATGCACTCGCCACCTTTCTTATCATTGGCCTCGTTGTATCCTATAGCCCGCAGGTAACGCGAACAACATGCGAAACAGTAAACATCTGACTTTTGTGCAATAGCATCTCCGAATAATACAGATGGGCTCTTCTGAGGGCTTTAGTCCTTGGTTCCTCTTACTTGGCAGCACGTCTTCTGCCGCGGGAATGCTTAATATGTGAGCCGCCGATGGTATTGACGCTCGGTTTTTCTGATGAACCGTCTATCAGGATTGCATTAACCTGGCCTACTATTCAGTGCTGTAATGATGTGGTGCGTTCTCAGATATTGCCTGCTTGACGCCACTGAGAATCTACGGCTTATCAGAGCGTGGGGAGATGCCTAGAAATCACTGCTGGAGTAACACAAGTGGTCTTGCAGTGGGTTTTATTCACGGCTATGTATGATTATCCCTTCCAGTCTGGCAGTTTAACTAACATGAAATGCAGCCTGGTTTTATACATGATCTACTATCCCGCCCGGTTGAAATATGTTGACATTGACATCCCTGCACACGGCACTCTCCCACCTCAGCATGTCAAGACAAAGCTTTTGAGTAACGACTGGCGTCTTTCTGTGAATGTCTCGTGGGTTGTCACCATCCATCTGTTTGAGTAACCCATTTTACTTTCTGGCTCTGTATTCTGATATGTCCTGAAGTGTCCTCATCACCACCGTCACATTCTTTCTTCTGTTCACGCGCATCCAGGAGCCTGGCGGAGATGTTCCACGTCAGATATCCTTGTGGGCGACCTTTCTCGGCGTCAGCTCTGCATTACTCGCAGCAATTCAATACGCCCCACAGTTGTTGCGGACTTATCGTTCGAAGCTTGTCGGTGCGCTCAGTATCCCCATGATGATATTGCAGAGCCCTGGGGCATTTATAATGTCCGTATCTATTGGACTTCGGTGAGCAAGTAAATTCGTCGTATCTGACATTGTATTCATGTTTATGCAAGCCCTGGCACTAACTGGACAAGTGCGTTTTCGTTTGCTGTTATTATTAACATGTTAATATTGTCTCAAAGGTTGGGCGATGTATGCTGTGTCCGGCATAATGCAAAGCGCTTTATTGGTTATGTGCATTGCATGGAAGTTCCGTCAGCGTAGGCTCAAGATTGACGACTTTGGTTACTCACTGGATAGCAGCTCGTCCACTCCATTGACAGACGACGTTGACACCGTTGTTGATGAAGTTTCAGTCCCCCAGGTTGGTGACATGTCTTTCGACAGCGATTCGGAGGACGCCCGAGAAGATGTGCCACTACTGGCAAAACCAAGACGTTCAGGCAGGAGCTCTAGGTTTTTTAGTTGGCTGAAGGTATGAGTAGATATCTGGTTTGGGGGCTTTTTTCTTTTTCGTCGATAATTAGAACCTGAACTTTGGGCTGTTAGAGTAGACCTATTAGCTAAACCTACTTTCGTGTCGCAATGACAGTGCAGTTTCACTATGAATCTCAAAAAGGCAACTCTACTTTAGCGCAGTTTCGCGCCTGTCATCCACCATGGCCAGCCTGATCGCAATTCTCGACTTGAAGGGGAAGCCTTTAATACAGCGCTCGTACAAGGACGATGTGCCGTCGTCTTATATCGAGCGCTTCTTACCACTTGTACTAGACATCGAAGAAGAGGGACAGCAAGTAACACCATGCTTTTCAAGTCAAGGCATCAATTACATGCACATCCGACACTCCAATCTCTACAGTGCGTCTTGACGTGTCTTGTGGCGGAACCGCCTCCCTGATGCTTTACACCGCAGTCTTGGCTTTATCGAAACGCAACTCAAATGCCGCTGAGATCATCATATTCCTCCATCGACTGACTCAAGTCTTGATTGAATACTTCAAGGAACTCGAGGAGGAGTCTATCAGAGACAACTTCGTTATTATATATGAGTTGATGGATGAGATGATGGACTTTGGGTTCCCGCAGACGACAGAGAGTAAGATATTGCAGGAGTGCGTATGAGGCTTACTCGTATGTGTTGGGTGCTAATGCCGTCCTAGGTACATCACCCAGGAGTCCCACAAGCTTGAGATCCAAGCAAGGCCTCCAATGGCTGTCACGAATGCTGTTTCATGGAGAACAGAGGGTATAAGATATAGGAAGAATGAAGTGTTCCTGGACGTTGTTGAGAGCGTGAACCTCTTGGTAAGTGCTGCGCACTGTGCAACCAGGCTCGTCATAAATTGCCTACATAGGTCAATTCGAACGGCAACGTGGTCCGATCTGAAATATTAGGTGCCGTTAAAATGAAGTGTTACCTGTCTGGTATGCCTGAACTGCGACTCGGGCTGAACGACAAGGTCATGTTTGAAAGCACTGGTCGAAGTATGTGATCATAGTTTTATTCTCCTCTCCTTGTCTCTGATATCATTTTCATCACAGCTGCTCGTGGCAAAGCTATCGAAATGGAGGACGTCAAGTTCCACCAGTGCGTCCGGCTCTCCAGGTTCGAAAATGACCGCACAATATCGTTCATACCTCCAGACGGCGAGTTCGAACTCATGTCTTACCGACTTTCGACGCCTGTCAAACCTCTTATTTGGGTGGAAGCTGCCGTGGAAAGCCACAAAGGGAGTCGCGTGGAATACATGGTAAAATGCAAAGCGCAATTTAAGCGCAGAAGCTCTGCAAATAATGTCGAGATCTATGTTCCCGTCCCGGATGATGCAGATAGTCCTAAATTCAGAGTTTGTGGCCTAGATCATCGAGATAAGTTCCAGCTGACGCGGTCTGCTAGGCATCTACAGGCAGTGTGCAGTATGCTCCTGATAAATCTGCATTCGTTTGGAAGATCAAGCAGCTTGGAGGTGGCCGAGAATATCTAATGCGTGCTCATTTCGGACTTCCGAGTGTTAAAAGCGGCGAGTGACTTCTAATTCTCTGCATTCGCTTTACTGATTGATATGGCAGAACAAGACATGGAGAAGCGCGCGCCCATCAGTGTGAAGTTCGAGATCCCCTATTTCACAGTGTCCGGTATCCAAGTTCGCTATCTGAAGATTGTAGAAAAGAGCGGATATCAAGCCTTGCCCTGGGTCAGATATATAACCCAGAATGGCGATGATTATAGGTGAGGAGCATCCATTTCACTCCATTTGTGTGAGAAGTTGACTTGAACCATTCCAGCCTTCGAACTGCTCTTGAGAAAGGGAGTACGCCTATTGTACAGCAGATGTGAACGCATTATATTTTATTCAGGAAATACCAGTATTTCATTGGCGCTTCAATTAGGACTTTGATTTACATAAAACTCCTGAGATTGGACCAGATGTCTCTAACTGTACGATCCTATGACATCGATTGAAGTGTCCTACAAACACACGAATCATGTACAGGTTTGCATGATAAATAACAGTACGTTCTTAGCTTCTTGTTCGTCAAAGGTTGACCAAACATCGATGCGTCAACACTCAACGGACTTTCGAATCTTCAGTGCGAACGAAAGAAACTCGGGCAATTTTGGTATCGTGTTTCCGCTGTATTCTCGAGATGATTCACCGCGACTTGATTTCGCAGGCTTTTTATACTAATCACTGACGTCGCTCAAGAACACGTTTGTACAGCGAATGAGTATAAGAACAGCACAGTGCAAGACTAACGACGATTTGAATGTGATACATCAACGGAGTTATGTATAGGGAAGGAAATCATTGTAAATCATTGGAACGACGAAATTAAGCTAATGAATCAAGTGCCACAGAAGCCCAGCTTGACACCTCGGTAGGGAAAGGGAACTTGGTTTAAGTCTGATTGCACGCCATGCTATAATGTGATATTTCAACAGATGACAATGACTAAAATTCAAACCACGAACCTCGCAGCACGACGGGAAGAAGATGAGGCATTATGCGCTCACATACTAATCCTGAGGATTTTGCGCGCGCGACATTGTAGGGAGAGCTAGCTTCTCCCAGTTGTCGGCGCAGAATATGCGATTGACTGCCAAACGCTTTGCTTATATCATCCTCCAGCTGGCAAGTGATCAGGAATCGGAGGTTTCTAGGAAGCTCGGCGCCTTTCTCGACGAGAACGCTCAATACCTCCTTCCTTGCGGCTTCATTCCCCCCCATCTCCAGACCGTCGATGATTACCAGATATGGTCCGTTCCAAACGACATCTCTAGAGGGAGCGATGATAAATTCCTCAAACTGCGTCTTCGCCACCCGTGTCTTGCGCAGACTGGTCTCATTTCCCACGGCCCTCCAGAGATTCTGCTTGAACTGAGCATTACGATCTGCCAGATCAAGGGCAATTGTTGAGAAAAGGTTTGTGTAACTCCGGGTGTCGTTGTGCCTGGTGCCTCGAAAGCAATATGAGGAACCAAGGCGTAACGCGAACTGAAATCGTTCGCCAATCAGTAGCGCGATGGCGCTGCACAACTCTACAGGTCCGGACAAGACGCAGATCCTTTCTGATTGCTTACTGTCTCCAATAACCCAGCTCTGTAGGGATGAAATGAGGTCAGCCGGGGGTGCCGCATAGTGGGTCGGTAGATGAATGGGACATGATGCGGCACATCTGGCATCTATAGCGTAAGGCATATCGCGAAAATCTGCTTTTGCACCTATTTGAAACGGCATGAAGATTGAAGCGGGAAAAGAATAAGATGACTCACCAAGATCTCGAACATCTTCTAAGATTTTGAGTACAGTGAGCTGTGTAGAGACAGCCATAAAGCTCTGAAAACTGCGTTGCAGGTCTTTGAATGCATTTTCGAATTCTTTGATCTGAGATTCCACGTTCAGTACTGAATTCCTGATCACTTGCGCAACTTTTGTGAATGGCGTCCGACGTCAGCTAGAACTATGCTACTACACCTGAAAGACTCACAGCTGCCTCGAGTATCCACATAATCGCGGATAAAGAATGCACATTCAATTGTTTGCTGCACCATAGCTTCGAGAACGTTTTTTTGTTTATGCAGATGCGGGAGCGCATCGACAGTCATAACGAGATCGTAAGTTTCTTGCATAGTGTGCATCAGCCGAATCACGCCGTTTTCGCAGGCGATCTGTTGCCTGATGACCTGATAGCGATGATTTTAGACCTCATAAGCATGAAAATGGTGTGCTCGAACCTCATATCCTGTTGCCAGTATCGAATATGCAATATTCGCGTATGGGTGAAGCTAAAAGATCGATTAAGCTAGTTCTTCTGGGTGCGTGTGGTGTGCCATACCTTAGCCAGTCTTTCAGCTACCGAAATAAAGATACCGATCTTTACCAGAAGAGGATAAAGGTGTTCATCGCCGCCATTGTCTCTGCTAGCCCGAGAAATTGCATCTTCGATGATTCTCTTATCTCTATCATAGTCTCTTGGTTGGTCGGGTTGGACATTAGTTCGGCAGTACGGTTGACTGCGGCAGAAAGCTCCTGCGTGAAAGAACCCAAGGACCTTGAAAGTGACATAGACCCTGTAAATGATGTGGCACCAGCTCGTGCTGCTCTGAAAGACAGAGTGGGGATTCCATCTATGTGCACGGATGCTGCAGAGGATAAAAATGGACGTCTAATCACTGTTGGCGCGTTCATCGTTAATGTATTCGTCATCGGAAAACAACACTGACGACTGTTTTGCTGTAGAAGTTCATCGACTTCGAAGATAGCAATACCGATAGGGATTGGATCGCTTTCTTTTCCATCGTAGCCGAGAACACGAAACACGAGTCGTGATGTTTGAGAAACGTTACTGGGATGCCTAAATCATTGCGCAACAATACGACATGAAAGGACTTACAATGTGAATGTTGTGTCCCATATCAAGCACTTCGCCCCCTGTTGTCCTTGAGATATGATGTTATAAGACTCTCCGTCGTTCGCCACATGGATTTCGAGGACGAATCGATCATCCCAAGACAGCTTTCCGAATTTAGGAACGCGGTCGATGTCCAGGATAACGGCTTTCAATGCACCATCAGCAAGTGGAAATCATTGGTATCAATCGAGATATACCAGAAATGTCCAATGCATCGATTTGCTTTATGGCCAGTTCGTTATTTTTCTCGACCATGGGATCGGCAGCTTTCTCAACGTCGAAATTACCAGTGGCGGACATACCCGCAGTCTGAGAGACCTTGAATTCTGTCTGAATTCTTGCACCCCTAGACTCGAGAGTCTTGCGAACAACTGCGGAAGTTGTGAGTGGGCGGTGCATAGGCTCATAGATAACTTACCGCCGTTGGGTGCAGCGAGCCATTCCTTCACGGAACCTTCCACCACAGCTATCGGTTTGTTTTTGTGGAGCCAACGTGTCGCAAAAATTTGTAGCGAAGCATGCGAGTCGAGTTGGAATGGACTATCGAAAATACGTCAAACAGATGTACATGTCCGGCATCAACCAACCTACAAATCATATCCGTCTGTCCATCTGGAGCGTCTTTGATGACTGGGCTTTGAGGGGCTTTCCCAGATAGTGTCGTCTATAGCCACCTGAACACGGAACGTGTCATGATGGACAGAGGGCAAATCTTGCAAGTCGATGTCTACAGGAATGATTTGAAAAAATAGCGCCAAATAGAGTATGCTTGGCGGCTCACAAGAGATAGACAACTTGTTGATGGTCGACGATTGGATGGGGGAAATTCTAAAGTGAATCTCAATTTCTTGGCCTTGTGACCCATACAAGGCGATAGTCCGTGTAATGGCTAGAGGTGTGTTATATGTGCTGAAGGGGAAGCATCAACCCCCACTTACGACCTGAGCATTCCAAAAGCTTTCCAACGGTGTCTTCAAGATTACCAATCCGTCGGGAGTGTCGGAGATCACAGGCATCGACATTGAATGTGACTTTGGAGGACTCGTCGACTTTGCTTGTTGAGTGCCACGTATGGTTAATTTCCATAGAAAGCTCATGTATTGATAACTCACAAGCGATATGTCTTGTTCCATTTGTATGACCGCAGTGCCCAACCAGTTGTCTGCAACTGGTTGCAAACACTGATGCGCACGCAGAAAAAATCATCCCACGAAGTCTTCCCGACTTTCGGTAGGTTTCCATATAGAGAGATATCTGCACAATGGTGAACCTTCCGTATTCACTGCTATCATATACAAAGAAATGCAAACCAGATATCTCTATCTCAAGAGGATTCGAGTACGATTTGCTAATGGGCACCGATCAGTTATTCGATATCACCATTCACAGTATGAAGGTGAAGCTTGCCGATCACTACGCAAAGATTTACTGCGGTCAAGATCCCTGGGGACTACGTGAACAAACCGCATGTGATTTGTTAGCTAGAAATGGTAACGTACGATGGACTTGAGGTATCACAGTCATCATACCTCTTCATCATTTTTGACAGTGCGATCGTGACCTGCTTTCAGTTTCAACTTCAATGAACCAGTACATCTTGCGGCAAAGTATCATACCGTGAGTATAAAGGAGATGTGTCAGCAAGAGTCGGAGCTGAATGGTGTTGCAGGAAACTAGAAGTGAAATCAGCACTGGTATATATACCAGTGCTTTATTTCACTTGTCTTCGAATGGATCGATAATTGGTGTGAGTCAGCTGGACACATGCAACGCTCGGAGAAGCAATACCTATGAGTAGCCGGGCTATCCCAGATATCGATTCGGCGTTCGATGGATGTCCTATGATGAATGGGCCAAACATAGACCGAAACGAGGATGACACCTGGCGACATTAGTACGTTATACAATATCAAGTTAGACGCTACGTCTCGATTATGGCAGATGCCCTTGCCCAGGGCTCAGGGTTAAAAACATCTGATGCTTCTAAGTAGCGCCTAGGAGATGTGACAAGCGCCACTTCAACCAAATGACCAGTTATCTCGGAACCAGCCGCTCAGGCTCGGGAAATTTACCTTCACGGATCTGCGGCATGATCCGATTTTCTGAGGTCCTCCAGTCCTCACCTACTTGTCAATTAGAACTTGAAGGTCCTTTGGCGCATAAAGACACTCGCAGCATCTGCCCCTCTCGATGGAGATAGGCCCTTTCTTCATCAGCATGCCCCTCAGTAAGCTGGCGCTTTTCGATCGCATCAAGGGACAGCTGTGAATCTCCGCACTTCGCGCGGAACCTGTAGTATATGCAAGTTATTGTCAAGTAAGGTATAATGAAAAACCCAAGAAACTTACATTTTAGGTTACCTCATGGATGAACCGGCATGATCAATTACTTCTTTGTACGCCCAAGCAATCAATGTGCGTGCGGGTGTTAAAGCGAGGCCGCATCGGTCTCAATGCTAATGTATTGATGACTGACTAACGCTGCAGGGGCTCCAAGTGCACTCAGGGCCAGATAGAGTAAAGGCTGTTGTAGAGGAGACGACGTATAGGAGCCGGCAATCGATGGAGCTCTGATCGTGATGGAAATGCAAAATAAAGGTAGAATGCCTGCCTGAGCTGGCCTGTTAGCGTCTGAATTCCAGGATTAAACCAACCCGAGATGAGACTGCAAGCACAACGTGCAACGGGTCTCGAGGGCCACCATCTCATGGGTTGTGGCTTCAGAGCGCCTGCCATGACACATGATGCACTGCCAGTAGATTATCATGTGCTGAATATTCAACGACATTTTCATATGGAGGTGCACAGTAGGACTTCTGAGTCCATTGCGGACAATTATGAATACATCATAAGTACGAAGTTCTGGTTGTTACACAAAATATGATTGTGTTGTTAGTATAAGTGCGATTGTTGTGCTGGCACCGTGTACCTTGATAGCATCACCTGATGAGATACGACGCAAGCAAATATCCATCCCTGTTAACTTGAAAGACAATCAGATGGTTGTTTCTGTGGCACTGACGAGACACAGCATTACATAGATTATTCCCGAACTCCACACCTCATGCAGTCAGCATGTAACGGTTCTGTGCTTCTTCACTTTCCTTTAGACGCCCTGCGAGGCGTATCCAAAAGCATCCCAGTGATACATCTTGCCTCATGGAAATGATGGAATTCGAAGCCGCTGTTCGCCTACGGGATGTTGTTGATTGCTTTCGCAGGTTCCACTTCCAGGAACAGAGGGACATTCGCTTTCGCTGCAATATTCTACTATGCCGATTTTACCGTGCATTTCCACTAGAGCAGTAGCCGTTTGGAGTCAGACCTCATGGCCAAATTTTTGGGTGAAAAACCCATTCCGTGATATCCGGTTCGCACGGTTCCGAATGGCTACGTCAACGAATGTTGAGCGCTGAGCGTTCATTTTCTACCTTTTCAATACCTTTTTTTAACGGACTCTCGGAAAAGTGGAGAATAAGTGACATATGGCCATCACTTTGTACGGTGATCCCATTGGTTACTACTATACCAATACTAAGTACTCGACATCCATGAAGAGACTGATCAGACGCGCACAGGACACTCTACCGAGAGTGGTGATTTCCATTTAGTTCACACGGATGGGTAATATGTGGCAGGGTGATCATATCCACAGAGATATCGCGCAGGGCCCGGTGCACGACTAAGAACTTCTTCGTATAGGCTTCGAGGTCGACAGTCGGCAAGCAGAAAAACCGAAATCCATGGTCTGCTGGCCAGGAGTAGCAGTGAGGAACAAGATGGTCCTGTCAGAAGATTGCAGGCCAATGCAGGGAGGCTTTGAGCTCGGGGATACCACATGAGACACCATGATGGATAATGAGGGCGTCTATGATACGACTCGGACCGCTAAGGCACACGAGAACATCGCCGGTGCGGTACCAGCCACCTTCAACAAAACTTGGTTTACGCGTTGTTGTAGTAGTATAGGAAGATCATCATGATCGATCCGCAAACCTGGAGCTCGCCGCCCGCTCGGCCAGGTGCGTACCAAAATCGTTGATCAAAACGCAAACTAACCTCGGATGGGCCCTTTCAGACTTTTCAGCTCGGCGTGCAAAGCTATGCATGCATCCTTCTAATGAACCTGTTAAAGAACGGTGTATCCCTTACTGTCGACAGCTTCGACTGATACGTCGAGAGATGATGATTCGGCCATTGAAGGCTTCTCAACGTTCGATGCCGCGATCAACTCTATCAAGCACACGAACGAGAAGGGAAAAAAAGACTGACCTAAGACGTATTCAGGAACACCCACCTGTACTTGTATCAAACGCCTCCATTTCGCGACCCCTCTGGTTGTATCTGTGTCATTAACACCGGTATAATCACTTCAATTTTGCCGTTCACTCGCATTTGTAGCACTCGCTTCTCGCGACTCGTCTGTGTAGGATACTTATATTTCTAGCACCAATCGATTTGTGTTATGACCCAAAAACCGACCGTAGCGGACTCTGCCGCGAGCAGCCCGAACAACTTCAAATTCAAGTTCGATAGCAGATATAGGATTGACATAGAACAATGCACTCGGTATTACTACAACGGGATCATTGGCAAGCAGCGCTAGAAATATCGATTTAGCAACTACAAGGGACAATCAAGGCTAAGAACTCACACATCTCGGCAATTCGACCAGTGTTCTCCATGAGGCATGCGGCTCAGATCAATATCTAACCCACTGGGCATCACAAACACAGTCCCAAGAGAATAAAATGGTTTTCGAGAAGCGGGCGGTACCCAGAAAAGCAGCTGACGATGGGCTCCTACCATCCATCCATCTTCCAAAGAGACAGGATTCGGATTAACATGAGGGGTGTCCTGGAGCAGCTGGGCAGGGTTTTGCAATGCATGTTCCAAGCTTGATGCGAAGCAAATGGTGCGATTGTTCTGAGTGTTGGTCAACATGATAGTATCCCGTTTGCAAGGTGTGGCGGAACATCCGTCCAAAGAGAATGCAGAGGAGTGGATCTCAGTGTGCTCTTGAAATTGCTGTTCTGTCGTCGCATTCCAGAGCCGGACAGTGGAATCCCAAGAACCAGACACGATGCGAGTGCCATCAGGCGAGAACGAGGCTGACGAAACGGAATCGGTGTGCCCTTGGAAGGGCTCACCCAATGGCAACCCGGTTGCTGCATCCCACAGCCGGACAGTGGAATCTGCAGAACCAGACACGATGCGAGTGCCATCGGGCGAGAACGAGACTGACAAAACGGAATCGGTGTGCCCTCGGAAGGGCTCACCCAATGGCAAGCCGGTTGCTGCATCCCACAGTCGGACAGTGGAATCTGAAGAGCCAGACACGATGCGAATGCCATCGGGCGATAACGAGACTGACAAAACGGAATCGGTGTGCCCTCGGAAGGGCTCACCCAATGGCAAGGCCGGTTGCTGCATCCCACAGCCAGACAGTGAAATCATCTGAACCAGAAACGATGCGAGTGCCATCGGGCGAGAACGAGACTGACCAAACGTAAGAAGTGTGCCCATTGATCACGGTCTGAATAGCTGTCCAGTTCACAAGACGTCCACGCATCAGACGAAGAGCGTTCGGAAACCTTGCAGTAAACTTTGTAGCTATCGTGGACTTGTTGGGGGAAAATGGTAGTGCTGATACATACAGATGCGGCGTGCTGTGCAAAATCATGCCACCAAAGACCTGGACGAATCTCTGCACATCCATTGCAGTGGACAAGACATTTTCATATCCGGATTGGCCCTGTGTTTGAGCATAAGCACTCCGCCTGACACCACCACGGGATTCTGTTCTCACCTTCAGCCACTGGGTAAGGAGTGGAAGCACGGTAACTGCGCCGCTGAGTGCATTGAGAAGGCCGAGTGCCTCAATCCAGAAGAGTAGTCGCTCGTTGTCGAGGAATGATCTTATTTCCTTGGCGAGCTCATTGTCGAAGCCCGTTGCTCGGACGTGCGTAGCCCAAAATTGACAGGAATAGGACAGATGCAAGGGAATGTTTGCTGCGACTCTATCCGGCAGCCCGGTATCTTCACTATTGGGGAGGTATGAAGACTTTAAATTACACATATTGAAGCGAAGGTCGTGTTCCATCACTCGAAGTGAGGCACAAGCAAGATTGCGTTGCGAGTTCGACATCTCCACGAAAAAGTCTCCGCTGGATGATTTGTCTGTCAGAAATTCGCGGAAGGATGCATGCAGGGGTCGGATGGGGCTAGATGAGTTGGTGGTGCCGCTTAGCAGGGATCTCATATCTGCTACCACAAGTTCCACTTTGTAATGCTCGCTTGGGTCTGGAAAATGGCACCGCATGGCGTTCAGGGCATCTAAAGAGAGAGGTTTGGCCGAGCCAAGCATCTGTCCCATCACAGAATGAAACTTCGCCAGTGCTCGCTGGTAACCGGCTTCTGTGGTGTGTCTGTCCTTCCGCATGTTTTCGCCTAAAATGAATCTATACATGCCATACAGCAAGTTTTCCTGCTCTCCATGATTCTGAGACATGACATCGTTCAAGCGATCAATTGCGCATGAGCCAGTAGCGATGTCTCGGATGTAGTCGCATGCAAGACGTGCCCATTCGAATAGTCCATCAGCTTTATCGGCGAGGTCTCCAAACTCTTTGTTTCCTAGATCAGACAGCTCTTTCAGCTCCTCAGACACAAAAGTGTGGATATCGCTTCTGGCAACTGCTTCTGGAATGTTGTCCATGGATAATTGTAGAATATGTTGAGCACCGTGAAATGCATCATCGATATCACGAAGTGGGCGAGAGGTGACAAGAATCCGAAAGTTGGGAGGGAGTTCGGTGATTTTTGGAAGACCTTTGTCTTGAAGTTTACCGGAAAGTATACGGAGAAGGCTACGCCGTGTCTCGACTTCGCCGCTCTCATCTAGCGCCTCGATGACTATTAAGACAGGTTCCGCACTCGACCCAGAACACTTCTGTAGTGGTTCCATCAATAGCTTACACCATTGCTGGATGATATCTGTCGTGTTCTTGAGCGCATTTGCATGTTCGACTGTATTTGCCAATGTTCGTCTCATCTCCGGATCACGATCAGCGAGGTCACGAGCGATAGTGGAGAAGATTCTCATGACGTTTGTCGGTTTGGTTCCGGTCGAAGCAGAAACATGAACCAAGCCTTCCCAAGTCATTGAACCAGTTAGCGACTGTGTGAGCGATAGCTGATTTGCCCGTGCCCGCAGGGCCAGATAGCCACAGCACACTCTGGGCAGTATCTCTACTGTCGTTGATCCATTCAGTGATCTGGGAGAGAATATCCGCGCGCGTCCCTGGTAGGCATTGTTTCGTAGTATTTAGTCCCGCGCCTGCTGCGTAAGGCATGCCACCGAGATTAAGTTTGTCACCCAGCTCGTCACCTGAAGGGGTATAAGTGGATGGAAAGTTAGAAGCACATCCGAATCCTTACTTGTACACCGGACAAGATCGGCTATGTTTCGAAGAGCTTGGTCCCGAAATTGTTGCATAAGCTCATCCAAAGTCTTGTTGTATCGTGCAATCAGATCATTCGTATCCGAGAGGGCATTCTCCCTGAGTCTGTTCCCTGTGATAATGAAATAAGTTTACAATATGCGCAGTGCAATAGCTCGATGACTTACAAAAGCCCTTCTTCTGCGAGTAGTCCTCGATGAAATGCGCGCACTCTAGAGTCTGCTGGGCGATCCGTCCGGCAATAATGTGCTGGGATAAAATCTGGCCAAGAGTATCATCTTGTGACATGAAGTTGTAAACTTGTTCTAATTTCTCAAGAAGAGATTGTATCGATTGGTCACGTTTCGTTTGAGCAAGAATAATCTACATAGAGTGAACAACTGCTGAACGGGAGGGTGAAGCTACACGTACTTTAGATGCAGCAGACAGCACACCCAGCACCATCTTTGCGTAAGGATGTACCTATGCAGCTTGATTAGCTCGCTTCCAACCAAGAAGAGTGACCTATACATTCGCAAGATTTTCAATGACAGCATCAAAAACTTTGAGTGGTTGAAGGTATGTGGTCTGGAAATCGTCTGCGGCAGTGAGATTTTTGGGCCGTCCTCGACTTTAGATACCACGGAAGTGATATGTCCCCCGAGTAGTCTCATACTTTCCGTACCCTCACGGGCTTTCCGAAGTTCTGCATCAACTGATTTTGGATCCGGAATCTGCATGACCACCAGAATTTAGAGATGAAGACTAGATCGTTTGGCGTAAATACCTTCGAAGCAGGTTCGCCGGACGCTCCTGGCTTCACACAGCCACTAATATTCTTAGATGTGGCGGGCTTGTCATCCTCGGAAGGATGCAGACGCGACGCCTCCTCGGTGGACCTCAGATAAATTCAAGATCAAGATAATGACTACTTACCTCGATATTCTGATTCGATGAAGCACCTGCATGATCGGCGTTCTGGACGGCGGGGATTTGGCGGCGGGTACACTTGAAGTGTTTCTGCACGATATCAGCTATATTCCAGCTCCCTCACCATTCAGGTCGACGTACAGAAACTTTTTTATTCACATTCTTCTTGAATTTCCGTAGGGTTTGACGGAATCCGTTACGGGGCTGGGTCTGGATGAAGGATGCGTAAGAGGCAGCGAGGATGTTATTAGCGCTCGTCGACACCAATCTCGTGAGGGCACATACCGAGCTCTCGCGAGCAGTTGTTTCTCTGGATACAGAAACCTCTGGAGGAGGATTCGGCCTGCGGTCTTCGCTCATTGCAAACAGTCAAAAATTGGGGGAAATGTATGCAAATAATCAGAGGGAAGGGAGAGTACTTCAGTAGAACCAAAGTTTAAATAACAAGCACCCGAATACGCTTGACCACAAGCCTCAAGGCAGCGCAGCGGCGCTAATCATTCAGGCAGTGCAAGAACGAGCCAGTGGGTCATTCAAGCGCTGATAAAACCTTAGCATTAATATTGAGATGTTCAAATCATGACATCAGAGAACCGTTGAACAAACGAGAAAGATATTTGAAGTAATATGTAGTAGAGCATGCATTTACAAATCAATATACATGATCTTGTGTCACAGGAGCAAAATTGTTTCCTCTTTAGTTCCCACGGCTACCATGGAATGCATCGGATGGAACAAGCTTGGTCTTATGAGATACACACATATGTGCATGGGCGCGACGACTGTTAGCTGAGTTAGGATATGGAAAACGGGAGTGATCACAGGCACCGTGCTGAGTCGGCGTGTATTAGGCCCTGGCGTTATAAATAATCAGTAAGCGAGAAGTCGTATAATTTTGCAATTGTGTGTTGACTGCCTGTGTTCAGGTTGGTCACGAGGACGATGACCACACTTACCTTTGGGACGGGAAGTTGCATGTATGGGCGACCATGAATTTCCCAGCCCTCACAGGTGGTGTGTGGCAGCTGGTTCAAGGGGAAAATGGGAGGCATGGGACGGGTGTGTTGTGTTTCACGACAGACCGCGGCTAGTTATTCTTCTCGATATCCTTCAACATGATGCTTGATGCCACCATAGGCACAATTCGACATTCTATCCATGAAAGTCGCTACTTACTCCTCCATCTCATCACCCTTCCCGCTGCTCGCACCAAACGTTGCCCAATTCTCACTCCACCGCGGATACACGCGCTTATACAACGACATACACACCGTATCCATCTGGTTGATGGGCCCATCGAAATGTGTTTTGAAATACCCGTGCGTCCATCCCGGATATGTCCCGTCCGCCCATGTTTCGTGAACAGCTGAATAGGCTTGAAATACTGGATGTCGTCTGTGCCAGGGAAAATTTGTGAGCAAGGGGAAAAGAACGAAGAAGAGAAACAACACAAACCTGGGTAGAAGAACATGTACCGCACCGTAGCGGTTTTTTTGTGTACTTTGAACGGGTGGCCCGTGAGGATGACTCGCTTCGCGATAATACGTGTCGTATCGGGGTTCATGAACATGCCCGTCGCCACAAGCTCCGGCGCTGTTCGTGTAAATTAGTTAATCACTTATCGTCTCTCCGTTGGGAGATAGGCGCACTTTGTGGATTTTGTGTCTCACGTAGGAGCATGCATGGCTGCTTCCCGAACGCAATAGGTGCATATACGCTCGCCACAGTCGTAATGCCGTGCCATAAGATTCTGAATCAGAATAATATTAAGAACCTCTGACGAGTTGGTTATGTGTGGGGTCGGGTGCTGATTTGGCTATGTAAATTCATCAGCAAAATGGATGATCTTGCAAACAACGCACGTTGCTGTGTCACTTGAGTCGCCTGAGGCTGAGACTCTAATCGCCCTGCCGATTGTGGCTCATGCTTGACAGGTTGGTCTAATGCTGTGGTGTAAGATATCAGACGACAATACGCAGCACGTACAATATGTGAAGACCGGTGGGCTCGCCTTCATCTCTGACTATCAAGGTATTTAGGATTCTACCCTCATTCCTACTTGATTTTCTTACCAACAAAATAGGCAATACAGAGCTCTTGACGGACCCACAGATCATGATGGATCCATCAGTGAGTGATGGAGATGATATCTTTGGGGAGGGGAATATTAGTGAAGCGGTTAGTGAATTTGAGAAGCGTCACATTTGCAACAACTTCTGCAAATGGCCAGGGTTTGGGCTCAAGGCATTTGGGGCTTGAACTCAGACATTTTTTTCAATTGCAGTGGAACTCGTTGAAGTACATCTCGGATATTGAACAATTTGTCATGGACATTCAGAGCTTTCATCCATAAAAAAATCTAGATATGTACCGGACAACAGAAACAAATACACAAGTATGGTGTTCGAGGTCCGACTGCCATATGTAGTAATTGTGGCTTAGTAATTGAGCGTGTCCGGGCTTCCATAGCAACGTTACTTAATACTCGGGCAGGAGGGAAAGATAGGCTCACTCTCGACATATAGTGCCGTCCCCTTGAGATTTGACCACACAGCAACCTAGGCAGTCACACGGTGTGTATCCATCAATGTACCCTAAGGGACTGCACCAAAACCCGTAATCCGCTCCTTTGTTAAAGCCTTTGAGGTTTGATCCGCATTGGTATGTACCTGTGGATAACCGAACTAAGTAGGCAGCCTGCATGTAGTAGGCTGCAAAAGTGCCTACCCTTGGGCGAGCAGAGTAGACCATTGGGTGTTGTATCTGAATTAGATGCGATAGCTACGCCAGCCATCGCTGCGGCAGATACGACAATATTGGTGAGTGAAGTGAATTTCATAGTTCATAGTATTTTCTGGGCTGCGTAGGTTGGCTTTTATACGCGACCGGAGTCATATAACAAAAGCTTTCATGCGCTCGCATCGCCGGATGCTCGGGAATGAAACATATGCCAGCTCATGCCCTGTTGCATAGTTCTCTTCTAGTCCATTCTTTTGGTGCGGGAAGGGCTTCGAAAACCTCGATTAAGCTCGATGACTTGGTCACAATTCTATCGTCTCTGAAATGCGCTTGATTCTTTACTCATTCTAAATCAGTTTAGCCATCGTTTTCTTTTGGTATTCATGATGCGGTACCACGGCGGGCGTACAGACTATGTGCAAAGCTATTGCTAGTAGGTGTTTCTCAGAAGTGTCGTTGCTCATCGATTATTCGAATCCAATCATCCTAGTTCCTAGCAGGATTATGTCGATCTAAAATTTCAATTTCTTTGTTTTTGGTTCCTCCTCCCTCAGAAACAAGTCAAAGGCAGTGATGCGTAACTTACGGATAGCTTCTTGCCGTAGGCTAAACAATACAGATTGTCACACACCAGAGCCCGCGAGAATAATTATGAAATATGTAGGATGATCTACGCCGCGGGCTGGTACATAGTCCAAATGTCCACTACATCCACCACAATGGATGATTTGACAATTCAATTTCTGGAGAATGAAGCAGGGTTGCTAGACAACGACGACAAAACTGTGCTGGTTGTTGCGGCTGCAGCTGTCCTTGTTGGTATGGAGCTAGCTATATGATATATTCATCCTGGCAAGACCACGGCTATTTATTCTTCTCGATAATAGCAGATATCCTTCAACATGATGCTTGATGCCACCATAGGCACAATTTGACATTATATTCATGAAAGTCGCTACTTACTCCTCCATCTCATCACCCTTCCCGCTGCTCGCACCAAACGTTGCCCAATTCTCACTCCACCGCGGGTACACGCGCTTATACAACGACATACACACCGTATCCATCTGGTTGATGGGCCCATCGAAATGTGCTTTGAAATACCCATGCGTTCCAAGCGACTCCCGGATATGTCCCGTCCGCCCATGTTTCGTGAACAGCTGAATAGGCTTGAAATACTGGATGTCGTCTGTGCCAGGGAAAATTTGTGAGCAAGGGGGGAAAATGAAGAAGAGGAAAAATACAAACCTGGGTTGAAGAACATGTACCGCACCGTAGCAGTTTTTTTGTGTACTTTGAACGGGTGGCCCGTGAGGATGACTCGCTTCGCGATAATACGTGTCGTATCGGGGTTCATAAACGTGCCCATCGCCACAAGCTCCGGCGCTGTTCGTGTAAATCAGTTAATCATTTATCGTCTCTCCGTTGGGAGATAGGCGCACTTTGTGGATTTTGTGTCTCGCGTAGGAGCATACACGGCTGCTTTCCGAACGCAATCGGTGCATAGACGCTCGCCACAGTCGTAGTGCCGTGCCATAAGAACCTCTCGAATTTGTGGACATTGTTCGTGCCTTTTCCGCCGCCGCGAGTGTGTTGAGAGTACACGGGGTTCACGCGCAGCCTGCGGGGCCCGTAACACAAGATCAGGGGGTCCTTCGGGAAGCTCAGTCGCAACAGGAAAAGGATCGACAAACGACAAACCTTCGATCTAACAGAACCTTCACACTCTGTGTTCCGCTGTACGGTGAAGTGTAGGACTGTCTTCTTGTGCTCGTGTTTCAACAATCCATATAGTACAAACGGCGACTCAGAGGGCACGCTGGCTTCGTGCGGGACACCTTCAATAAAGATTGTTACGCGCCTTCCAGGCTGCAGTAATGTTTTTAGCGATTATTTGGACAGCAGCGAGATTCCCAACCTCAATACCGTTATCCTCCAATTCGCGCCACATATCCCGTTCAGTACGCTTGAAGTCCTCGAACTCAAATATCCGTGCATAATCAGCAGGCAGGTTCTCATACGGGTCCCACGGACTCGTGCGGAGGGATCGAAGCCCACGGAAGCGCGCGAACCGCGTGCGTGCAGGGACGTCTTGTGGGGTATCGATTTCATCTGGAAAACTTTGAGCATCTTGTTCTTCCTGGGAGCGCTTGCGCCATGATGTAAGTCTTGATTGATCCAATAATTGTCACTCTTGCGAAATAAAAACTTAGGAAAAAGAGGACGTACTGCTTTTGTTCTTCTTCCATGTCGAGTTCTTGGAACGCGACAACGCTTTTGCGCTCACTTTCCATGTCCAGCGCATCATCGAGTACCATCTCCTCGTCCTCATCCATTCGCCCTCCACCCTCTTCCTCATCGTCCTCATCCTGGTCCTCATCCTCGCTCTCATCTACGATCCACGAAGCTTGATACTCAGTCATACCCTTAGGAATGCGCTTGATACGCTTCGGCGTCGTGCCTTTCTTTGCATCTGGTACCTCACACTCTCCAGTGCCTTGCAGCGCACCCGTCATCTCCTCCTCCGTCGGCCATGTTTGTTCGTTCGCCATATCGTCTGCAACGTTTGTGCTCACCAGAGAGTCAGCGGAGGATGGGACTCGTTCAGCGAGGAGCACAGGCTCAGCTTCTACATCCATACCACCAGGTCTGGCATGCTTCATGCGAGGAAGTGGAGCAGACATGATCTACAACCCATTTTAATTCCACCAGACCGACCGACCGACCGACCGACCCATGACTCACCTTCGAAACTAGATAATCTCCATGGTTAGGAATATGTATGAGCCGATCGGGGCTAAGTCTTCCCCCACGAACGATACCCGTCACCTTCAACACTCCGCCCTCTTCTCGTTCCACACTCTCGCCTACCACCCACGGTCGCCCTGCGCGCCACTTGACCTCTCCAGGACACCCCTCTGCGAGGGCTCGCAGGGTGTTGAGCGAGTCTGCTGGTGCACTGAGATCGAATACTCGGCGCTGAGCGGGGTCAAAGTATTGTATGAAGGAGAGGAGGCTTTTGAGTACTGCTGGCCTGGCCTTTGCATCGAGGTATTCTGTGGTCGTTGGCGGGATAGCTGCGATGGATGTAGGGAGGCCTTGTGCTTGGAGCATGCGGAGGAGGGTGTCACCTGCAGGGGTAACTTCGATAGTCGGGGAGAGCAGGAGGAGCGTATAATCTGCGGCACGGGCTGCATCCAGAGCAGCGAATGGGTGAGCAAAGGGCACGGGGAGGAATTGGAGGGATGTTTTGAATCGGGATGCTCTGCATGTGTGGTTCGATCAGTGTGAGATGATGAAAAGGAAGAGACAGACTTCATAGTCCATATGTTTTTTTTCTCGTTTATCCCGTGTATCTCTTCATCTATGCATTTTCCGAGGGTTTCGATACATGTTCGGGTATCAATGTCTTCGGAAAGGGGGATGATGGCGACGATGCGAGGGGCGCCGTCGATGCCGCTGAAGATGCGGGTCGCAGCGACGAGGGAGGCGCGTTTAGTGGCTTGGGCTTGCTTTTGAGTGTTGCGCCTGTTTATGCGAGCCTGTGTGACAGTGCTTACTGCCGGAGATTTTGTGCTTTGGCGAGCGGTGCGACCTGTGCGAGGCAAAAAAAAGTGCAGAAGGACTTTTGAGATCAAGATCAGTAGATAATCGGTGAAGCGCACCTTTTGCGATGTCCTTGAGGGCGGATTTAGTGGCATGGTGGGATTTGAAGGGTTTGTTTTTCTGTAGTAAAACTAGATGAGATCTGATTTTGAATGAAGGAAAAGGTTAGATGGACCTGCTTGAGGGTTGATCTGTGATGGTGTGCTTCTACAACCATTGCGGATGTGCGCACGTCTCTAGGTGCAAGCTCTTCTTAAGTAGAGAGGAGCTGGTGCCAGGTTGTTAAGCTCCTGGTGAACGCGATACTGGTACTACGCGATATCGAGCCTCGAGTCCAAATCTTAGGACTCACTATATCCGGGAAGCGCCGGGCCGCAGCACTGCAAAATGCAAAATATTTTCATTGCATGACTCTCTCATGTTGCTCGTTGTAGCTATGTATATAACATCTGTGGATCTCTAATACGTCCTCGGCGGTTGAAGGAAAGTAGTAGGGTATACAAACGCGGGCTGTACAGGCATGTACCCTTGTGGAAACTGTGGAGTAACCATTCCTTGGTGCGAGTAAGCCTTTTGCATCTGTGGTGGCCATCCATACATCAGAGGCGCGCTGCCCGGTCCATAGCCCATTTCCATTGGGAGGGAATTGTGCCGCTTGTTGTACCACGATGCTGCAGGTTTTTTTCCGTCATCCACGGGCGAATCTGGGTGACGTCGGCGGCGGGAGGAACGGCCGGGGAAGTAGGCATCGACGATTTGCTCGTGCTCGACCCAGGGGAGCTGGTCGAGGCTGTGCAGAAAGCGCTTGATGCGCGTAGGTTGGGGAGGAGAATACCGGTCAGGCGAGGGAACAGTGACATAGTCGGTCACGGTGAAAGTTGTGTTGGGGTGGACAGGTTGAACAGTTGAAGAATGAGTTTGTGAATGTGAATGTGAATATGAATGTGAATGGGCACGCGTATGAGTACGGGGAGAATGAGCGTGGCCATCGAAGGAGTGTGGGTGCGGATGTGTCTCATGTGGTCCAGTCTGCTCGCTTGAGCGTTCATCAACTGTTGAGAGGACTTGAGGGACAACATCCGCTCCAGGGGAATACATTGGCGATGACGCTGCTGGGGGAGGTGGTCTATGTACAGGCGACTGCTGCTGATATGCATGATGCTGTGGCGATGGTCGCGGGTACGACGAGGGCTGGGGCATGTCCATCAGCTCTGCAGTCTGCGCTATTCCAGTAGGTGTGAGTGGGCGCAAGCGCAAGCTCGCTATATTTGGAACTTGCACATCATTCTCATGATGAGCACCAAGAGAAGATGCAAAGTCATTCGACGGCGATGGTCTGTGCGAGGATTTGCGCAGTCCAGGGAACTTGCGCAGGCCCTTGACGAAGCCCCCAACCCAGCGTCGCGCACCTTTCGACCCATCTGTGTGGTGTTGAGGAGCGTTAGAGAAATCAAAGTCAATCTCCTCATTGTCCTCCGGCAGTTCTTCCCCGTCGACCTCAGGGTCCTCCACGGTCATGTATTCTCCGATCATCGGGGAGGGCATTCTCATGCCAGGAGACGGAGCACGCCCCATCATGGGTGAGGAATGTGCCATGGGGAGCGGTTGGTCTGGGAATACGGGTGTGGGGAGGTCTACGGGGTCTGGTGGAGGCGGGTACCATCGCGCGTATGGGTCATTGATTGGGGATGGAGGCTGTTGGCTAACCCAGGATACGTCTCGAATTCGCCTGGGATTGTCATATCTGTTTCTGTGTATTGAGCCAGAAGCATGCTCCCCGGGATCAGGGTAGTAGCGTGTGTCTGGATGACCATGGTAGTCATGATGGTAGCTGGCTTCGGACATGTGCGTTGATCACAAGAAGTCGACGCTGTTACTGTCAAAGTGAGCAGTTGGTAAATGCGGAGGACACGATGTCGAGTTGTGAGACGTACTATGTATAACACAAGTGACAAGTACCGTTGCTGAGTGACCCAAGAAACCCAAACGCAGCTCTATCTGCGCAGTTTTGCGCAGTTACGATCTGCGAAACGAGATTCAGAGGAATGAGACAGCACCTTAAACAGCAAGGACGTACTAAGTATATAGTAGTCAAGTCACTGCACCACATATATCGTTCACATCGGGAGCCTAAGCTCAAGTGTCTTTCCAGAACTGAACAGAATTCCCAGTACTTAGGCATCCCAAGTACATTTTGGTAACGACTATCTTCCTAGTATGAGGGTTGATTTCGTTAGGAAGTCACTGAAGGGACAATTGTAAAATTATGCATAGTGCGCGCAGACGACCATATTAATGGTCTGATCTTATTATGCATATGGACAGCGCGCTACGTACGACGAAGGAAATTATGTATTTTCAATTGTCCTTGTATTACATAAAGGCTTAGTCGAACAGTTTGAAATTCAAATTAATATTAATGTTAGTTCTTAGTACTTACCTTACCTGACGCTATGTCCGCTGCTGTCCAAAAAATTCTTGTCGTGGGTGGTAATGGGTTCGTCGGTGAGGTTCTTAACTGATTCTGTCCAGCTATTAGTACCACTGGCAGATGGCCTAATCCAGTTCCACTCTAGGTTCTGCGGTGTGCAAGGCCGCTCTTGCGCGGGGCATGGGGGTCACCAGTGTTAGGTGCGTCTGTACTCGTTCCACTCTGTCTGTCGACGCTATATTGCATGTTCAGTTCATCTGGGACACCTTACCGCACCCCAAAAGGTCATACCCCAGACTGGGTGGAAAAGGTGCGTCGACAACTCCTTTTCATATTGTATACTCGACGCTTAGAGCCCACGAGGTAGAATGGCGAAAAGCTGACGCCATGAATCCCGACACATATGCTGATATTCTGCCTGACGTCAACGCGGTTGTGCATACCATAGGCACGCTCCTGGATAACACGCAACGCAATAAACAGTTCCACGACAAGGACTTCGTAGGCTTGCTCAAGTCAATTACTGGCATCAGCCCGGTGGAAGCACGTCATCTAGGAGGCTATGAAAAACTTAATCGCGACACTGGTAAGCCCGAGCTGCCTTCACGTCAGCGACGCGTCGTCATATGTTGTACTAGCCATCCGCATGTGCAAGGCATTCACTGCCAGTAAACCCAGCCAAGGAATCACGGATGTTCGCCCGTTCGTATACATCTCCGCGGAGGACTTTGGCAGGCCTGTTGTATCAGTGCGATACATAGAGACAAAAATGGCGGCCGAGAGGAAAATCGACGAGATCATGAGAGATCATCCACAGTATCGAGCTGTGCACGTTCGGCCTTGTGAGGATGAATCCTCAGACGGATGGTTCTAGACGCTGACTCGTCTTGTCTAGCTTTGATATACGACCCAGAGACGAGGCCGGTGACCATCCCGGCCAAGTTGTTTACCTTTTCTGCGTGGATGCACGCAGGCATGCCGTCGTTTGTACCGATGCCAGCATCCATCTTGAGGTGGCTCGGCACAAGGGTGTTTCCAAAGGCGACGGAGCAGACGCCTTCTGCATTGGTATCTATTGCCACGCTGCTGAGCGTGCCACCGATTCGGGTCGACCATTTGGCGGAAGCTATCTGCAGTTCGCTAGATCCTGCTAAAAATGTGAAGGGACCCATCGGTGTTCGGGCTATGAGGGAGCTGATTGGATGGTCGAAAGGGGGGCCTAAGACTTCTTTGTCGCAGTCTTGATAGAACATTGTCGTCTAATTACAGACTTTCACCGCTGATATTGCTGGTCCGACAATTGCAAATCCCATTAGACAAATCATGTTCTTCTTCCATACGCATGTTCGGTATCTGCAGATATGATAAGATTGGACCGAGTCCGGGTCCTTGATGGATCACCTATCAGTTCGCCTGTAGAAGAACATTGCGGTTGACAACATTGATGGTTCGCTTTGGACATTTGCCACTGTTCGGTCCAGTGTTGCTACAGCGTGTCAGAAGATGGGATCACGTTGGACCGGACAGACATGACTGAATTCATTGTCACATGAAGCTCAGTTCCGTAGAGAGGTCCGTGCTTTCATTCGTTAACCAATCGATACTACATGCAATTATCGGACTCATCTGGACAACTGTAATTCTGTTCCAGGAGAGCATTTATCATCCAAGATAGTGATTGCCGGAATGAACTGCTTTGGGACCCACGATTACGGCTGATGAGATCACTGAAAAGTTTTAAACGCTGTCAACACCATGACTGCTTTACGTAATCCTGTGTGAGGTGTTAGAATCGATTCCAAATAAGTTGTCCACCTTTCGACCGAGACTATATGCATCAGCAGCTCGTCCGTATTCAAACGATGAAAGCTTGAAGCAACTGCAGCTCGAGATATAGGACGTGAGTCACGTGGTCAGTCTGTATGACTTCTGTGATCGGAACGTTCCGGGAGGTGTATGTCATCGCAACCAACCCTGCCGCCTTCGTCAGCCACCATCACGCCGTCCGATCCATATCGTCATCCTTGTCAGCTTGCCGTTATGGCTCTAGTCACCTGGAGGCAGGACATTGAAATTGTAGACTGGAAACTGCAGACAACGATATGGTGTTGGCAGGCGAGTAGACAGACAGGTAAGCGTGAGTGACTAGAGGCAAAGATCCTGATAGCACCATGTCCATTCCGAAACTTTAGATCGGCTCTATCGATATAGACTTTCAGATAAGCCATGTTTCCATATGTTCAACTGACGCCATTAATTTACTAAAGGTTGGACCCCGCAATCGAGCTCGCGGATTTTGCGCAAAATATCCTCTGGAGTCAGTGCATTCCATTTGCTCAACCGTGAATTGGGCAAAACCAGTTGTTTTGTCCGGGGTGGCCGTGGCAAACGACCATCCTAACGATAACTTGTTGTCGTCCCATCCGTTTTGTTCGACCCATTCCGACTCCTTAAAATCAAAAGCATTTCCCTCCTGCACTTGGACTTCGTTAAAGTTCTGAACTTTTTCAGTCTTCAACTCGAGAACGGCAAATTCGGCAGCAATGTTGTTAAGCGGACCGGCAAGAATGTCAGTCCATCGGCATTATGAGGCTCGGTCGAGAGCAAAGGTGCCCACGCCAAGGATGCCTAAAGATCCTGTGCAGTCTCTACCACAATGTCAACCTTTTCACAAGTGTGCATGTGAACATGCCAACGACTAGTAGATTCCCAGCGCTGTGGTGTCAAAGGTTTGCACGACTTTTGCTGGGCGTTTCAATTGTGTCAACTGAAAGATCAGACTGTCGCATGGATTGTATTGTGCCCAGATTAGGTGCGCTCTACTTCGCCTGCATGCCGTAGAATTGAGTTAGCAAAGACTTTGAGTCGGGAATGATCAGAAGGTTTTTCCATCAAGAAAGGCCGCTCGGCCACCAGCTCATGGAGCTACTGACTGATTCAGGTAATCCGAGAGCCTTTCGCGATCATTATGTCCCATTTCTTGTGCTTTGCAATGCCACGTGCGACCTCGACCATGAATTTCAAGGACCTACCTGTGTAACAGCAAGTTTCCAGTTACATCTCCGCAAGTCTCTGCTACCCTCCGCGCGAGTTCTGCCGTAAACCAGGCACCAGCAGTTTTGCTGGCAAAACTTTCTAGTCTACCTCCAGCATGCACCATCTTGATTTTGGGAAGTCGATTTTCATGTTCCATTTAATTCAAACTATGAACTAAGTTACATCTCCGCGTCGCCCGAGTCTGGAGTTTTGCCAGGTTTTGCCACCCCGCGCGTGAGTTGTGCCGTGGACCAGGCACAACCAGTTTGACTAACAACATCTTTGCATGCCTGTAACCATTGACACCAATCTCGCTCCTGTCCATTCCTGGGACCTACAGCCGCCGTTACTGTCGATTGATTTCTTTTTTGGAACAACACGTTAGGACTGGGTGGCACTTCCGCACCAAGGTCTAGCACTAGATCCTCATCACGCTAGTCAACATCCCCTCTCTCCTTCCCATCAATACTCCTCGTCAGTTATTCCCATTGGTGTGACTAGCCCTAAGACTTCAAGTTGGTTCATGATTAAGATTTCATCATCATGATATGCAAAGGGAAAAAAAATTGTCAAGCAGAGACCACACCACACGCCCAAGTTCTGTACGGGGACGGCCGCCCCGATGAATGTGCTCGACGGTGACTCCAATTGGTGTCATGGCATCCGATGTCCATATGTGCTGATGTCAATAGGAAGTGAAAGCGCGGGGGGCAGCATTCGGAGCAGCAAGCCCAGCGATGGACGTGCCAAAACAGCGCAGGATAGGTACGTGCGAGGGCGGTACCGATGAACTTTGACTGAAAGATGGCAAGGAAATACGCTTACCGAGCAGTGGTTGAGGTCTTTGGCGCTAGTACCGTTGAGGAACTCGTGTTTCCCACAGAAGCTGACCCGATTTTGAAACCCAGCTATGTATGGCTGTTATCTTTCCTCGGCTCTGTTCTGTTCGGAAGGATTCTCCCCTTTTTCATTGACTGTGGCACGATGTCAGGCTGGCATATCGTGAATATTTTAATTTTATTACTTTGTCTTGAAGCGAACAAGATGCAATATAAAAACCCGTTCTCTTTCCCTCTTCCACCGCATCTCTCTATTTGTCTAATTCACCATGGAGGTCAAATCAACAGCTGTCAAGCAGCATGCTCACTCGTCTCCGTCTTCGGACACAACTTGGGTGGATTATTCTCCTTCAAGCATACGTCCTTACCTCTATCTGGCACGAGTGCATAATCCTGCTGGAACACTCCTGCTGTTCTACCCATGTGGTGGGTAGCTTCTGTAACGTTGTTGTCTCTGCCATTGACTTGAATAATAATAATCAGCATGGTCGGTCACCATGGCCTGCTACGCACACAGCGCACCGATGTCGACGGTGTGGACCTATGTCGGATTGTTCCTTGCTGCCGCCCAAGTGTTCCATGCTGCCGGCTGCGTGATCAATGACATGTGGGACAAAGATGTCGACGCTGCCGTTCGTAAGTGGTACATTTCAGTCAAGTGGTGGCTCTTAGTAACCATTCACTGTCAGCGCGAACAAGTACGCGACCTTTGGCTTCGGGTGATGTCTCGATGTTCCAGGCATTCGTGTTCCTTATTCCACAGCTGGCTCTTGGCGTGTGGCTGTTGATGCAGTTGAATGAATACAGGTGTGTTGGAGTTTCGCAATTTTTTTTTTTTTTTTTTTTACGTTAGTTCTCATGTTTATCATTTTTTTCTGTCTCAAGCTTGCGACTTGGACTTTCGTCCCTGGGCCTGGTCGTGTTGTATCCTGCCATGAAGCGGGTGACCAATTGGCCGCAGGCAGTGCTTGGTAAGTTATACTGAGTTTCAAGACCGCAGCGGTTATTAATGTCGTCAAATAGGCATGTGCTTCAACTGGGGAGCACTACTAGGTGCGGCTTCAGTTGTTGGAGCAGTTGACTGGCATGTGTACATTCCTCTGTACCTTGGAGCTGCCTGTTGGACAATTGTATACGATACTTCTTATGCTCGTCAAGTAAGGATCCTCCGTTACTGTCCGTGCTCATCAGCTGATCCAACGAAATCAGGACAGAGATGAAGACGCCAAATATGGCGTGCGCTCCACCACCATTATCTTTGGAGATCAGATCCGCCCTATTCTCGCGCTGTTCTCCCTCATTGTTTGTTCTCTGGTGTCGTACGCTGGATACTGCAATGGCCATGGCTTGCCATTCTTCGCCGGCGTTGCTATGGGCGGACTTCATCTTGCCCGACTCCTTGCCAGGACAGACTTTGAAAACAAGGAGAGCTGCGACGCTACTCTTCTCAGTAACGCTTGGTTCGGCTTCTGGGTCTGGGCGGGAGCTTTCGCCGACTTTGTTCTCAAAACTCAGCAATTCTAGATGCAATGCTTTTCTTCGATATTTCTGATTTTTCTTTTACTCGCAATACACTTTATCGTGCGCCGTAGAGATGTATTTCATGGTGACGACCATGACCTCCATGAGGTCAAGCATATAAATCGGAATGGCACCATCTTATGAGGCACCCGAACTAGGATTGGCTGTACAAAAAGTATCAAATTGGATAGATCGATTGAATGGCGTAGATGATATATATATATTGTTTACGTTCATGTGCCGAGTGATGCGGGGTGATCAAGACACAGCATGTACGTTTAATTGCTCTGAGGTTGCCAGGTTCCGTCTTTGTGATGTAGTGTATATAGGCGATGGGTATTACGGTTGACCGGTGGACGTATACATAGCCATAAGATTTAATCTGGAGTCTGCAATCCGATAGATGCGAGCCTGTGCGAGGTAAGTACAAGACTCAATAATGAGATACGAATTAAAGAATATATGTGCCCCACTTTTAACCTAAAATATCCAACCAGAAGCCAGTTCAGGCAGCCCGAACTTAGTACGTCAGTGGTCACTGGAAGCGATTACGTATTATACACTGGACATTCATAAATTCCAGGGAGTGCCCCAAGATTGATCTTCTCTGTCTAGGATCTATTATGGAATGTGTCGGTCGACACACCTTTCGTCTTGAAATCCTTGTTCGCGCGCATTTTCTGCTGCCGAGGCACCGTGTTACACTGAGTGCACGGTTTGCGAACATCTCATCGTCATTGTGCAAGCGGTTGATACTTTTGCATGGCATTATCAAGGAGGCGCTCCAGGCATGTCTTCTCCGGGCTGCTACTGCTGCAATTTCTGTACTGGAAGACTGCAACGAGTGTGACTGCCATCTGCATCACGATCTTTGCGTGTGGCCAGCTTGCACTCACTTTGGTGGCGTCTCTCGTAAGTAATTGTTTCGGCGACTGCAAGCTCACTTTGCATTTGTGCCTATGTTGGACATAGCCCTATTCGCAAGAGGCTTACTCCCGCCTACCTTAGGTGCTTGTCATGTCATCAATAGAAACCTGAGTTACTGATACGTTTTCTTGTGGATTATATAGTGACATGTCGAGTCCGTGTGATGAGGGTGACCGTGCTTGACTTCAAATCTTGGCCTTCGCCGTTTTGGGGGTAGGTTTGACTTCAGGGCTTTGTATTTGCCATAGCGGATATCAAAGATACATTACAGGTGAAGGACTACGACGAGCAGGCTATATATTATTGATTTATGTTTCATCAAGGTCGGAGCAAGAGGCGTTTCAGCGCTTCACTATATGCACACCATGCTTCACACGATTCATTCATTTGATGCTGGATCGTCTTTCGGAACCAACTCTCAATTGCCCAGTGACTCCCCAATAAGTTCATATGAGCCTGCTTCAACAGCGCCACCGTCAACTTACCTCGTGCTTGCTATCTTCTCGCGTGTATAACTGAAACCTGCCCATACAGCCATCAGCCATGCACTATGAGGGCTTACAAAGAGAAGAGCCGGTAATGCACATTGGTAGAGACAGTAAAAAGCCTTCATGCACCGCAGACAAGCTGCCAGTATGACAGAAGCTGATTTTACCTGTGTTTCTAGTACTACATAGTACAGCCGCAACACACGAGGGGGGGCAGAAGCGTGTCAGTCTTCTAGCAGGTTCCTTAGGTCATAAAGGCCTAGGTAACCTAATTCCTGCGAGCGCCTATCACATACCGGGGGAATCAGCACGTTACCTCTTACAAGATTTTAATCAAAAGCAGATCTGGACCGTTCCAGAGCACTCTAGCAAATGTAATTTTACTAGGTCAGTTTCCTCGCTGTGTCATACGCGAGGCTTTCCGCAGCACTGAATTGATTGCCGCTTATAACGGAGAGACCTGAAATGGAATGTTTTCTGCAAACGAACGTTTGAGCGCTAGCGCCGAGCAGCTGGTTTTGAAGATCCGAACAGTGTACGACTCAGTGCCGGCGCTAGAGGATGGGTATTTCAGCCCACCAACATCTCGCCCACGGGTAAATACATCCCCCCAACAGACACAAAACTGACTAGACTTTTACTACCTGTTCCCTGACATGTCATTCAGCAAGACATCAAATACGGCAGTAGACGCTGATCATGAGACAAGTTCGATTCCAGTACCAGTGTAAGAGCTATCATCCTTCCTACCATTCATATATTCAGGAAGACGTGTGCTTGATTGGTTCAGATATCGTCATGCAGCGCCCTCTGGACCATGGCCTTGGTTGGATTTCAACGTCGACCTTGCATTATCTGAGCCGCCATTTCGAAAGGGTGAACATGAATGGCGCGGATACCCACAAGAACTTTTCGGCAACTGGAGTCCAAATCCAGTGAAACGAAGCAAGATGTTAACGCAATGTGCACTCAATAATGAGACATGCGTCGTGTATGGCATTGACTTGACAGGCGACGGTGAATTCAAAACACGCGAGAAACAGCAGGTGCCGGAAGGGAATGAAACCAAATTCTGGTCAAATTTACAGAACGAGGCAAGTATTACCTTCACCCAGAGTGATCGTGACTACAACCACTAGCAGGATCGGAAGAACATCCGCGTTCGAGCATTATTCGTGGATAACTTGTCGGAACCCGTTTTGAAGATGTTGGGAACAAAGTTCGTGCTCCCGGGCCGGCTTGAATTTCGGCACTGAAATATCCTTTTATAGGTATATCGTCGAGCCTTTCTTCTTCTCATCCTCTACAAACTGGATCCCTTCGCGATACCGGGAAGACGTTCGACATGGGTCTGGGGATCGTACGTCTGATGACTGCCTTTTGATCCAGAGGTTCTCAATTTATTTCTCCGGGTAGATATCACAGTTATCCTTCCTTTTATTCGAACCACGGAGAAAAGGCCTTCTAGCTTACCAAGTATGTGTTTGTTATTTGTTCAATAGTTTGACTGTTTCTCATCACAAAACGTACAGAACAGAAAAGAAGGAGGGATACCATAGATGTCATGTCACCCCTTCACCTACACGACGGTAACCGACCCTTGCCTTTACCGCACGGTTTTGTCTGACTCCTTTTGTTATAGGCGAACATGTTCAAATCCTTCTCATCGACCTTCTGGCGATTCATATGATCCGTGACAAGAAATCCTCCACAATCATATCGTATCATCCTACGCTGCCTGATCGCACTACCGCCGAGCGCTTGTATCAAGTTATGGAGCGCGCAGGTGGAAGTGTTTACTGGAGTAAAATATTCAAGGCATCCGAAGATCCAACCTTTTTCTTTTTGGCAATCTTGTGGTACGCGCTATATGCGTGGGATGAAACATTTGAAGTGCTATATAACCACATCAAAGAGTTGGTATGTATGCAATTTGTTCGAGTTGCGGAGAAGGCTCATCATTCCCAGGAGGTCATATTGAATGACTACAACTTCAAAGCTATGGACGAACTCAACTATGACCTCCATAGCCTTCTGGCGCACCTCCTCCAGTACCAAACTCTCCTTCATGATTTCGAGATATCGGTCAAATTTGTCGAGGAGACGCCGAACCCTGCGATGGAACATTCAGACAATATGCGCACCACAAAAGAATTGATGGAGCGAGAATGCAAGAACCTTCTTGCCGAAATCGACAGGTTGCACAGGAGATGTGGGATGTTCATCAGTCGATTAAAGAATGCCACAGATTTGGCATTTGCGACTGTAAACATCCAGGATAGCCGTCAAACATCCACGTTAACGAGGGCAACACTTCGAGACTCTGCAGCGATGAAACAGGTACGCTGGCAGCTACATGCCACATGTACACTGCCAAAGCTCATGCCTTCTGCAGATATCATACCTGACCATGATCTTCTTGCCCGCCAGTTTCACTGCGGTATGTATTTGGATGTATAACACACACAGAAGCACTCACTAATTGAACAGTCGGTCTTTGGAATGAACGTGCGCGAAATTAATCCTGGTTCTCTAGAGTCGATCAAACGCTACGTTTGGGTGTCTTTCTTACTGACTCTTGTCACGACATGGGTCGTTGTCGCTGTACAACCATACACTAAAATACACGAGGATGGAGCTGGCGTTTGGCGGAGGGCTGCTTGGCCTGTATTTTTCCTCTCTCGTATCATTATTGAGTACTTCAAGTCTTTCTCGATCAAGGGCAAGAAGACCTCGCCACAGGAAGATGACATCCCCTTGGGTTCATATCACAACAGCAGAACTCGTCTTTCTTCTTCGTTGAAGTTAGGGGACGTTGTTCTTGAACGGGTTACAATTGGCGGTTGATCGTCTATGTAGTGACTCGTGAGTGTTTCCGGGTACACACTTCAGAATGCGAGGGACCCGAGTTGACCATTGCAATCCACTTAACAATTACATAGCAGGTAGAACACATTGCACGAAATCTGTACATACATCACAAAGATCCTGATATCATTCATGTGCCCCGACATTTCATTCTACATGACCCTTATGTTACAGCTTGAGTGAAGCAAAAGATCACCCTTCCGAATGTGAAATACGTAGGTGGGAGTAGAGTAGGGTATAGCACGCGTATACCCGCGGGTCGGAGGATTAACACCATACCGATACTAATAACCTGCGGGTACACAAACAAGAAATAGTGATACTACCTCACCTAACGCTCTCGTCTTCTCATTTTCCAATAGACGGCTGAACACCGAGTTTTCTTGAGTGCGTCTGTGAGTGAAAATCAATCAAGGTCCATGCAGACGCGAGCAGTGAGTTCACATACTTAGATCAGCTTCGTCATCCTGTTCGCTGGCAGGAGCTGCATCATTGTCATCAACATCAATTACTTTCGGAGCCGCGTAGTGCAACTCGGAGGGGGTTGCTTCGACCTGTGGAAGGATAAACCTGACACTTTTTGCAACATTATCCGCTATGGACTGCAGACTCGACGATGATATGTTTGAAGTTTCTGAACGTGTTGGGGTAGACTCAGCGAGCGAGGCCATGTCATTGGCAGTAGACTTATTGACCACAATGATGGAGTGAATGGTGGGAACATTGAGAAATGTAGAGTCTGTCCTCACCCTATACTGTTGAATCACCGAGTTATCATTGAAGCAGCGAGAGATAGGATCAAAGCAGCGGGTCACGGTTGCAGTCAACGACCTCCGAAAAATAAGGATCACAGTGAGTGCCGAATCTTTGTCATGTCCAATGTATAACACTGCGGAGAAGTGCGGCAACATACCTGTGAACATAGCCGTATACCATGCTAACGGGTATGATATGACCGGTACCACATCTCTACACCGCACCCGTACCCGCCATATCCGTGACCCCTATACCTGCGATGTAGCATATACCCGTGCTATACCATGAGTGAGAGTGAAAATTGCAGCGACCTTGAAAATAAAATATGTTCGTGAATACCCAGGGTGACTCGGAGTAACAAAAGACACGACTCACATTAAACACGGTCATACCAACATCGTGCCAGTGGTGAGAATACTCGATATTGAATCCAGTATACATGTACTGGTCTGTCGTCTGGATTGGACAGTAGAGGCAGTTTGATGTCGCATCGAGGCTTGCTAGATAATTGCCCGCGTAAGGGTCCATATCATCATGTGGCTGAAAACCAAAAAGTATGTTTTACTCAAATAACATGCATGTTTTTATCAAGGTCAGAGCAAGAGGTGGAGCGCCTCTTGAGGTGTTTCAGCGATTCGCTACTAGTATATGCACATCATATTTCACACGATTCATCCATTTTTATGCTGAATCGTTTTTCAGAAGCAACTCTCCATCCGTGAAAATCGCTCAAGTGACTCCCTAGTAATATCATATGAGCCTGGTTTGATAGCGCCACCATCAACTCACCTCATGTTTCTCGGGTCCCATTACAACCTATCTTGGTCACATGTATCACTGAACCTGCCCATGCAGCCACCAGCCATGGTCTCCCTGCTTATGAGGGCTCAGAGAAGAGCTGCCAATACGCATTGGTAGGGACAGTAAAAAGTCTTCTTCATGCACTGCAGACAAGCCGCCAGTGTGACAAAAGTAAATTTTACCCATGTTTCTAGTACATAGTACAGTCGCAAACAATTTTTTTCAGCCCAGGGGCAGAAGCTTGTCAGTCGTCTAGCAGGTTCCTTAGATGATAAGGCCCGAATAACCTCATTGCTGTGAGCGCCTATCACAAAGTGGAGGAGTCAACACGTTACCTCTTACAAGATTTCAATCAAAAGCCGATCTGGACCTGGCTAGAGCATTCCAGACCTAGGGTAGAGCATCCCAGAGCACTCTAAAATTCCTTTTGAACGTAATTTCACTGGCGGCAAAGGGTAGTAAAATGTCAGTTTCCTCGCTGTGTCACTGCAACACTGGATTGATTACCGCTAATGACGGAGATACCTAAAACGAAATGTTCTTGAAAACCATCGCTGAATGCTGCGCAGCTAGTTTGATGGGTGATCCGAACCCTGCAGTATGTGACCCAGCGCTGGCGCTAGTGAATGAGTATTTCAGGCGCACCAACATCTCGCCCATGGGTGAATACACCCCTCCTAACAGACACAACACTGAGACTTTGACTACCTGGCATGTCATCAAATACGGCAGTAGACACGGAGACAAGTTCGATTCCAGTACCGGTGTAAGAGTTCTCATCTTTCCCATCATTCAAATATTCAGGAAGACATGCCCTTGACTCTTGGTTCAGATATCGTCATGCAGCACCCTCTGGACCATGGCCTTGGTTGGATTTCAACGTCGACCTTTCACTCTCTGAGCTGCCATTTCGAAAGGGTGAACATGAATGGCGCGGATACCCACAAGAACTTTTCGGCAACTGGAGTCCAGGTCCAGTGGCACGAAGCAAGATGTTAACGCAATGTGCACGCAATGCGACATGCGTCGTATATAGCATTGACTTGACAGGCGACGGTGAATTCAAAACACGCGAGAAAGAGCAGGTGTCGAAAGAGAATGAAACCGAATTCTGGTTGAAGTTACAGAACGAGGCAAGTATTACTTTTACCCAGAGTGATCGTGACTACAATCACTAGCAGGATCGGAAGAACATCCGCGTTCGAGCGTTATTTGTGGATAACTTGTCGCAATCCGTTTTGAAGATGTTGGGGACAAAGTTCGTGCTCCCGGCGGGCCGGCTTGAATTTCGGCGCTGAAATATCCTTTTTTAGGTATAACGTCGAGCCTTTCTTCTTCTCATCCTCCACAAACTGGATTCCTTCGCGATACCGTGAACTTGAAGACGTTCGAAATGGATCTGGGGATCGTACGTCTGATGATTGCCTTTTGGTCCAGAGATCGTCAATTTGGTTTTCCGAGTAGATATCACAGTTATCCTTCCTTTTATTCGGACCACGAAGAAAAGGCCTTCTAACTTACCAAGTATGTGTTTATTATTTGTTCGATAGTTGACTGTTTCTCATCACAAAACATACAGAACGGAAAGGGAAGAAGAATACTATAGATGTCATGTCACCCCTTCACCTACCCGACGGTAATCCACACTTGACTTTACTTCACGGTTTTGTCTGAGCCCTTTCATTATAGGCGAACATGTTCAAATCCTCCTCATCGACCTTCTGGCAATTCATATGATCCGTGACAAGAACTCCTCCACAATCATATCGTATCATCCTACGCTGCCTGATCGCACCACCGCCAAGCGCTTGTATCAAGTCATGGAACGGGCAGGTGGAAGTGTTTACTGGAATAAGATATTCGAAGCATCCGAAGATCCAACCTTTTTCTTTCTAGCAATCTTGTGGTACGCGCTGTATGCATGGGATGAAACATTTGAAGTGCTGTATAACCGCATCAAGGATTTGGTATGTATGCAATTTGTTCGAGTCGTGGAGAAGGCTCATCATCCTCAGGAGGTAATTCTAAATGACTACAACTTCAAAGCTATGGACGACCTCAACTATGACCTCCACAGCCTTCTGGCGCACCTCCTCCAGTACCAAACTCTTCTTCATGATTTCGAGGTATCGGTCGATCTTGTTAAGGAGACTCGAAATCCTGCAATGGCAGATTCAGGGAATAGGGACATTACAAAAGAATTGATGGATCGAGAATGCAAGAATCTTCTTGCCGAAATCAACAGGCTGCACAGGAGATGTGAGATGTTCATCAATCGATTAAAAAATGCCACAGATTTGGCATTCGCTACTGTAAACATTGTGGATAGCTATGAAACGCATGAGATGACGGAGGCAACCCTTCGAGACTCTGCAGCGATGAAACAGGTACGCTGGCAGCTACGTGTACACTGACAAAGCTCATACCTTCTGCAGATATCATACCTGACCATGATCTTTTTGCCCGCCAGTTTCACCGCGGTATGTATTTGGATGTATTACACACAGAAGCACTCACTGATTTGAGCAGTCGGTCTTTGGAATGAACGTGCGCGAAATAAATTCCGGTTCCCTAGAGTCGATCAAACGCTATATTTGGGTGTCATTCTTATTGACTTCGGTCACGACATGGGTCGTTATCGCTGTACAACCAAACAAGACGATCCACAAGGACGGAGCTAACATGTGGCAGAGGGCTGCTTGGCCTGTGTTATTCTTTTCTCGTATAATTATCATGTTCTTCAAGTTCTTGATCATGGGCAAGAAGACCTCGCCACAGGAAAACAATCACCCCTTGGGTCTATATCGCAGGAGATGAGGTCGTTCTTTGCTAGAGCACGCCGTTTTTGAAGAGGGTGCGATTGGCGGTTGATCGTCCGTCCATGTAGTGACTCTACGGACAGGATTACACTTCAGAAAGCGAGGGATTCAAGTTGACCATTGCAATACACTTGTCGATTACATAGCAAGTAGAACACATTGCACGGAATCTGTACATATGTATACAACACAAAGCTCCTGATATTATTCAGGTGCCCTGACATTTCATTCTACATAACCCTTGTGTTACAGCTTGAGTGAAGGCAAAAAATTACCCTTCCGGATACGAAATACGTAGGTGAGAGTGAAAATTGCAGCGACCTTGGAAGTAAATTGGTTCGTGAATACCCAGAGTGAGCAGTAAAGGATGCGACTCACATTAAACACGGTGACACCAAGCATGATACCAACGTCGCGCCAGCGGTGAGAATACTGAATATTGAATCCAGTATACATGTACTGGTCCGTCGTCTGGAACGGACAGTAGAGGCAGTTCGATGTCGCATTGGGATTTGCTAGATATCCGCCCGCATAAGACATGAAAGGATCCATATAATCAGCACACGTGAGTCCCGTGGGAGGAACAATCGGAACAAATTCCGTTGACGCGCAAACAATCTCCTGTCCGCCAACCGCTAAGAGGGAGTTGAGCTCAATACCGAAGCCAGAACTAAGTAAGTACAAACCTTGACCGAAAAGGCCTTCAATGAGATAGGTGAAAGGTGAAACCCTATACATCCACCGCCACCAACCCAATGCACGGAATGGCTGCAGGACACCGTTACTACACCATAGATCAGCAAACAGCGATGTTATCCGTTAAGGAATCTGACTTACAATATCACGACAAATGAGAAGAGTGTGCTGAACAACAACGAGGCAATAAATGCAGTTGGAGCCATGGAAGCAATTGCAAGTGCGACTGTCGTGTAATAGAGCGGGAATACGACGCCATACATCAGATAGGTGTATCCGGCCCGGTCGTTGTGGAATCCGACTGTCCAGTACCAGCAAACAAAGAAGATCGACGAGCAGAAAATGTTCCAAGGTATCTCAACGAGGATTTGAGAAGTGACGAGAGCACTCCACTTGTACATCCTACTCTGGCGTTCCCGGACCTCGTAAATTGACCGAATGTCGATGTAGATCGCCTGCATCTGTTGAGAAATGGGGACACACAAAATCGTGGCCAAGAAAATTGACTATGAAACTGATTAGCGAACAAAGCTGGTTCATCTAATGTCGAAAGTCATACGAAGAGTTTGTTTTGTGTACCCTGGAGGGAGTCTTTCGTCTTGAAGAATGTGAAGCCGATCAATAGCCCGCCAGCGATATTGAGAACGAGCTTTGCCATCAAGTAGGTTGGATTCCGCCAATATACTTGGAAGTTGCGTTGTGTAAGAGCAATGGTCTGGTGCTTCCATGAAGTAGCAAACTGTGTGCGTAGCTCTGTCTGGACAACGGGACGAGATCGACCTTCAGCATGAATGCGCCCAAGCTCTTCTTCAAGGGCGGCAGCTTCTGGCGAAATTCGCCAGACGTTATGCCAATCAATAGATGTGCTCGCGGTCGCTCCAGCACCAATGACATCAAGCATGTATTCCGCACTGCCATAGCTCAATTTCACGAATGCCTCTAAACCAACAAAGAACTTACGGGTTCGCATCCTCATCACAGGGTGGGGCCCCATTACACTCGAAATATTTCAACATCGTAGAAGATTTGTCCCCAATGTCACCAAAATAGACGGTTTGGCCGCCCTTGCGAAGGAGGAGAAGTTTGTCAAATAACTGGAAAAGCTCCCCGGAAGGTTGGTGAATGCTAATCGAGTTCAGAATGAGAACGCTATCAGACACATACAAACTCACGTGCACAAGATGGCTTGTCCACTATCGGCAAGCTCACGGAGGAATGTTATGATGGCCCAAGCTGATTGGGAATCGAGACCAGACGTAGGTTCATCAAGGAAAAGAAGAAGCTTGGGCTGTTGGCAGGCTAAGTTAGAAGAGGATGCTACATCTTCAAAGACGTACATACCTTCGCGGCTAGTTCAACAGCTATTGTGGTGCGCTTTTTATGTTCAACGCCTAATGTGCCCACAACTGCGTTTGCATAGGATTGGAGACCACACATTTGGAGGCACTTGTCAACGCTGAATGGTGTCAGTCGGAATTGTTAATGGTGCAACGTAGAAGAGGGGGACATACTGGGCTTGAATCTCCTCCATAGGGACAAATTCCGATTGTCTAAGATGAGCTGAAGAAAGAATGGCTTCCCGAACAGTGGCTTGGGGTAGATGGGTATCCATCTGTTGACAATATCCCCTAAACCAGTTCTTAGTGTTGCCCACTGACGACTTGGCTTTCACCTACGTTTGCGCTTGGAAATCTGCGGGAAGTGGTTGTCCGTTGATGAAACGGTCGCCTGAAACGACACCAACATCGACGCGCTGGGCAAGGACATTGAGCAGAGTAGTCTATCACGTTCTGATCAGTCTACAGCGAGGTTGAGCAGTAATATGACGATAACCTTTCCTGCACCCGATTCGCCCATGAGGGCGGTGAGCTTGCCAGGGGCGACATAACCAGAGACATCGTCTAATAACCTCCTCTCTGATCCCCCTGAAATTGGTACGACATACTGCACATGGTGCCAGGTGAAGATATCTGGAGGCGCATGTTTCTTCTTTCCGTCAGATGCCCTGCTCTCCTTGTGTGCGTTTTCATTAGGTGGTGCTGATGGTTGCGCTTTTTCCTCATCTCTGCGTACACTGGCGGGTCCAACAGACCCTGCGCCCTTTGAAGGTTTGAAGAGAGTGACAGCAGAATCGAATGCAGACCCGGTGTTGAATTCGGTTGCGAAGAGCAACATCATAAGGAAGGCGACACCGAATGCACAGATGATACCGTAATCCTGATAAAAAATAAATTAAGCTGTCATGAGTCACATTAGAAGACCATATTGGGACCTACGCGCCAAAGATCGCTGTACTTGTAATCGTAAGATAGGTAGGTGAAGGTGTTACCGTTGACAGTTGGCATTCCAGGCTGAGCCCCAACTGTGGTGCAGACCTGATTAGCTAGCGATACATTTTCATATCCAGGACCCTGAGGGACTAAGGTGGAGCATGTCCCGTTCAAAGTGTGGAATTCGTTCATCATCAATGATTCAAATCCGTATCCGAGAGGCTGAAAAGATGTCTCAGTATGGCACTTGAAAAAAATAAGTCATCCTACATTCAAGTAAGTGATCCAGCGCAGGGCGCCCGGGATGTTGAGCTTAGGAATAGTGTAACCGGTGTACAGCGAGAAGACCAAAACACCGATTCCAGCTACTGATGTAGCACTAGACTCTTCTTTGAAAGCAGCAGCGACCAGCCTGAAAAATCCTTTCATGGCGGTCGTCATCGTGAATACCACTAAGAAGAATATGCTGTCGGAAAAGGCGTATCAAATCAGTACCGTAAACTTGTATACAGGAAACCACTGACAAGAACTGCGATGCTGTCCTCTGAAGATCGACCAGGAAGTAGAGAAGTACAGAGAAAACGCCCTGGATGACGAACGTAATTGGTATATCGACAACTGTGTGAGCCAGACTCTCGATGAATGGATAATACATCGCTGCTTTGTGGTGACGGAGAACTATGGGACGTTGAGCATAGAGAGCAGGTATTTCTGCCATAGCGGATAAAGCGCCAAAAAACAATGCACTATAGCCTTATTAGGAACATGGTGACCAGAAGAATACAGAAGAACAAACAAAAATAAGATGCCCCCGCGAGAGAAGTAACCAGAAGTTGCATCAGGGAGGTCGTAGAAGACGGTGCCCATCACGATAGCTTGGAATATTTGTGCACTTAGGAAGCATCAACACGTTATGTCAACATAAGCATATAATTGGTACGCACACAAGTTGCACCACTTGGGCCCCGACATCGCCCTTTATTATCTGAACACGGCGGACCATTACTGCCCTGACTTGCATTGGGATTGATATCGTATAGGAGTTACTCTTAGGTGCAGAAGTTGCATGCTCCATCACTGCACTAAGTCTGTATGCCTCCCTGCGTTCGGGTTTGCCTACGTAGTGGTTGCGATAATGATCGATTGATTGACGGTTTGCTTGCCCTAGCGGAGATGAGAGGAAATAAGCTGCCATTTCCTCGGCCGTTCTGGGTATTGATCCTTCAACATCAGTGCGGAAGTTTCTCGCATTCGGATCCGTGACTGGAAAATCTCAGATCACGATGAGGACCATTACACTGATACGCACCAGAAACAAGGAAATCAGAAGTCGTTTGCCGGTGGTAAGGTTCATATCCCATATTTATGAAATATTGGCGCGCCTCTTTTGCTGGCCCAAAGTAGACCATTCGGCCTTCGGAGATTACGCATACCTTGTCAAACAGATTATATAACTGTTCACCGGCTTGGTAAATAGAGACGACTGTCGTGATCCGACCGATATCAGTGCCAATACGAAGTGCCTGAATGAACTCCAGCGCTGTCGACGAATCCAAACCACGGGTTGAGCTAGAACTCATCAGCGCTCATCACAGACAACGAATCAAATACGACAAACTTGTCCCAAGAGCTGATTAAACTTCTGCATGACAAAGCCTCTGCGATAGAAACACGCTTCTTCTCTCCACCTGATACACCTCGTATCGCGGCGTTCCCAACGACGGTATTGCGTGCGTGGTGCAGTCCGAATATTCTGATTAGGATATCGACCACGTCGCGATTAAACTGTTCGCGGGACTGGTCGGCGAACCGCGTATGGGGGGTACGTGTTTTGATTGCGAAGGATAATGTCTGCTCAACTGTGAGGGTCGGAAAATGGACGTCATCTTCGGGACAGTAGATGACATCGCCGCGATATTGCTTGGCTATTTCCTCAGGGGTGAAGGAGTCATAACATACGTCACCTTCGACAGCTTGGTACTCCGACGTCTGATTGGAGAGCACCTTCAGGAACGTGCTACAGCCTGCACCAGGACGGCCTAGAACAACTGGGGGAAGTCAGCATACAATGATCAAGTCAAACACAAGCTAGACTTACGCAACATCTCTCCTGGCATTACCACACCTTCAAAGCCTGACAGAATGTCACGGTTAGG